TTCTACAAGTGTTTTTATTTGAACGGAAAAAATAAGTTTAAAATGGCGACTGCTGAGGCTTGAGAATAAAGCCGAAAATGAAAGTCCTTCCGTAATAAGCTACACAGTAGCGAAATATACAGTGCCGGCTAGACTAGAAGGAAAATATCCATTTTAAGTTTCTTTTTTCTTGGAGATCTGTATTTGATCTTGTTTGGGGAAAAGTTTTCTTTTTAAAAAAAGAGCTTTTTTGTGTGGCAGGATGGCGTTAAAGTTAATGAAACCTGACAGACAAGCAGTGGGGGGGGGTGTTCCCCCATCCACAATTATCTGAACAAGCTCTGAGCCTACAGACTTTGCAGATTGGTTTTAATTTAAAAGAATTTCTTCAGGAGGAAATGGCAAAATATCATGAGACTGTGAACCACAAATTTGAAAAATTAAGGCAGGAAATTAAAGAAATGATACAACTAAAGTATGATAATCTGCAACGAAAGATTGTAACAGTGACTAATGCTTTTTCAGAAGTTGTTATAAAGATGGATACAAATATCAAATTATTAGAGTCTAAAATGGAGGAAGTTGATGATAAGATTTATAATTTGGACAATAAAATACAAAGAATTGAAAATGATTTGATAAATATTCAAGACAATAGTTTAGAAGTAAAGTCTAAAAAGGAAGCTGGTCACGAGACTTACAATGCAGAAGATATAAAGCAAGGGATTGAAAGAGAAGTTGTAATGATGCAATACAGGCTCACAGAATTTGCGGTCAGAATGAGAGGGTTACAGGAGAATAACAGAGATGATTTAAAAAAAATATCTGCTCAAGTTCTGGCTGGGATTTTAAAGGTTCATCTTGAGGAGGTATCTTGTAAAATTGACAAGGCCTATAGAGTAAATTCCTGGATTGCAAAGCAAAGGCAACTGCCTAGAGATGTGGTGATTTACTTTACAGATAAAGAAATAAGAAATGATATTGTGCAAAAATCCTTTAATTCTACTCCACAACTGTATGGGAGAAAAATCTGGATATATAAAGAATTGCCGCCTAAGATGTTAAAAGATAGAAAGAAATTTGGACTCTTGGTGACTGAGCTAAAAAAACAAAATATTTTATTCAGGTGGGATGTTCCAGTGGGTATAATATTGAGATATCAAGGAGAAAGATATCAGTTAAATACTGTTGAAAAAGCAGAAGAATTTTACTACAAGGCCCTCAAAAAGCAAAATCAACAAGAGATAGAAATTCAAGAAAAGCAGAAGGAGATGGAAGTAATGAAGAAACAACAAGTTACAGAGGTCTCTACAGATGAGCCACTTTTGGATTCTCTTTCAGAGGTCTCAGCTGGACTATTTAATACAAGAGAGGCGGTTCCGGATTCTAATGTAACAACTCATCAAGTCACAAACCAGCATGGAAATCAATCAGTTGATATACAATTTATAGAACCAGAAAGATTTAAGCCACAAAAGCAAAACCAACAAGATCAAGTTATAGATCAGCATGAAAACCAAATAGTCGATATACAATTTACAGAAAGGAATTCAGGATGGAGATCCAACCCACAAAAAGTCAAGAAAAGAAGAAGCAGGTCTCACAAAAACAAAAACTTTTAAACTAAACAACAGTGTAATGCCAGTTATTTAAGAGATGATTGAATATATGAAAAGATAATTGGCAAAGTATTGGTTTATTTTATCCTGAGGAGAGTGACAGACCTCTGCAGTGCTGTACTTTTGGGATGTGAAAAGGGCCTTAAATTGAATGGATTGGAACTATCTTTTTTTTTTCCGGATTCTTTGATAAATATACTACGTTTATGCTGAGTTACAAGGCAAGAGAGTTATGGGATTGGGGCATGCAGAAGATCTGGTTGTTACCCTATTACGGTGGTTGGAATTAATAATTTGGATAAAAGACACCTCTACAGACACTTTATGGAATACAAATATAAAGTCACTCGGGTGGTTGTTGCTGTTTTTTTAATATGAAGATATTTGCTATTGATGGGGGCAGATGGTAATTGAAGATACCGAACATACTGTTGGAATTAGGATGTGATGTTACCCTAACATGGGTGATGGAGTTTACAATCCAGCTGAAAGACATTACAGAAGATATTATATGGATTACAAGCCTAAAGTCTTTTTAAGAGGATTTTATTTACATAAGGGAATATTTTTAGGGGAGTGGACAGAAGAATAAAGATATTAAGATTTATTAAGTAACGATGAGGGTGAAGGAAATGGGTAGACTATGAACTGAATAAATGTTAAATTAGGATTTATTATATAGTTTTATAGCGGAAGGTTGTTTTGAAATGTTAGATTAATATACATAAAAGATTTGATTTATTATTATGCTAAATTAGGAGTTATATAATGTTATAGTAGAATGTCATTTTGAAATGTATAGTATAAGGGATATGATAATTTTATTAGAAATAAAGGGTCAGTATATGGGGATGGAGTAAGGGGATGGTAAAGTATTATATAATCTGTTATGAATTTGGGTTTTATTATGAAGTAGTCACGGGGAGGGGAGGGGGAGGGGGGTTAGGGAGGAGGGGGGAAAAGTTGAAAAATTTGTATTTGAAAAACTTTTTCAATAAAAAAAAAGAAAATAAAAAAATAAAAAAAAGAAGTAGGTAAGCTACTTTGTCGAATGCTTTGTTGAAGTCTAAGTATATTATATCAGCAGCATTTCGCTGGTCTACTAATTTAGTCACTATGTTGAAGAATGAAATAAGATTGGTTTGGCATAATCTGTTTTTAACAAACCCGTGCTGACTGCTAGTTATTACTTTGTTCATTTCTAGATGTTGGCAGATCTGTTTTTTTATTATCTTTTGCAATATCTTCCCAGGTATTGATGTTAGGCTGATTGGTCTGTAGTTTCTTGGGTCTGGTTTTTTTTTGGGGGGGGGGTTCCCTTTTTTGGAGATGGGAACCACATTAGCTCTTTTCCAGTCCTCTGGTAGTTCTCTGGTGGGGACTAGGATTTTTGAAAGATATGGCACAGTAGTTCTGAGATGACATCTGCCAGCTCCTTTAGAACTCTGGGATGTAATCCATCAGATCCCAGTGATTTGCATTCATCAAAATCAGACAGGTGTTCTCTTACTACTTTTTTTTTTTTTTTTTTTTGCTTATTTTAACTTTTATTTCTAGTCTGTTTTTTACAGTTATGTTTTTGGCAGGTTGGGCTATAGTTTCTTTTTGCGTTTATTGTAGAATACAAATGCAAAATTAACCTGAATAGTTTGCTGGGAATATCTCTCCTGTTCCCGTGGATGAAGATGTTCTGATGAATGTAATTTAAGAAGGACGTGCTGATGTGGAATTTCTGTACTGGAGCAACCAGTCCACAATCACATCAGTCTAATGATCTGTTTTTTTAGATACTTTCTTATACTTTTTTCTGGTCCTTTTAAGATTGTCGAACTCATTTCCTACTTTGTTCTGGTAATCTTGATATGAGATCTATATAATCTCTCCTGGGATTTTGTTTTATACAGTTAATAGTCTTAGTAAATAGCCACTATATTTATGCAAAGAAAGATTATCTTTTAATAGGGACTTGATTTCCTTTTTCATAATTATGAGGCTCCTCATTTCAATTAATCAAAAGCACTTTTGATAAATCAAGTATCAGGAAATGAGAATTTAGCTTCAGCCCTCTTAGCCATTTGTACAATTGTGAAATAGAAATTTAAAGAAATAATCAGTAAAGATAGTATTCACTTAGTGGCTGCCCTGGACAGTGTCTGTTCACAGTTACTGTAGTGCTGAAAAACTAATTTGTGATCAATACCAGTATTTCTGACCTTTACAAGTTCTCTCTTTCCATCACGTGTTTGCTATTCCAGTTGGTTAATATGCATTGTCCTGTACAAAATCGTAAGCACAGTTGCAGTTACATGATTTTCATTTAGGAACCACTTTGCTTAACAACTGAGTTACTGGCCCCAGTTACAGTCACTAAATAAGAGTTATCTGTACTCTAGGGTATCTCTACTCTCTTCTTGCTGCTGCTAGGAAAGAATGTATGAGGGACGTAGTACTATGAAAAATCTGTTAGATGGAGGACTCTATATGTATGAAAGTATATGAATTGGGATCAGTAATATAACTAGCACTGTCTGAGAGTAAGGAGATATTGTGAGTATAGATGGTACTTAGGTTACCACCGTTCATTCAACAAGAGTTCAAATGATGCAGAACAAGGGAGACTTATTACTGTCACGTGATTGTGATCTGGATGCTCCACCTGCGTCCCTGTGGTCACATGATTGTGATCTGGGTGCTCCACCTGCCTCGCAATTGTTGAAGCAAGCTGCAGTCACATGATTGCAATTTCCGAAGTTTCCTGACAGCTACCCACATACAAATTCAGTGGAGATGCCAGCAGAAAGTCAGAAATAGCAGAGTCGCATGAGATCCTCACTTAAATTAGGGCAACCAGGAGTGCTGGAACTGCCACTACTAAGTGACATAGCCATGTGATATCACACTTTACAGTACAATTGCATTGCTTAGCAATAGCAGTTTTGGCCCAATTGCTGCCATAAGCCGAAGACTACCTGTAATGTGAAATAGGGGATGTGTATAATTGGCTTGGGTGGGCGTAATTTTGATATGCTTGATAGAGATGTATAAACAGGATACAAATATTATAAATGAAGAGGTGTACATGAGATGAATTGGCATAAAAAAGATATTTCAAGGTCATGTCCCGTAGGAGACGTGTCACAAACCTGAAGTGTGGGAGCTGGCTCAGTCACTTCTCTATTTGAATTGCATGCTGTTTTGATGTTTTAAGAAAGATCTATCCTTGCATTAGAAATTCGTGAGTTTCTCTCCTACACTGTCTTGCCTCTTCAACATTTTAAAGACAGCATAGTCTTTTAACCTATTAATACTCACTCCATTTCTTTTCCATGTTAGAATGTAGATATGAGATGTTGAAATCTCCTGAGCTTTCATTATGTTCTCTGCTTTCAATTTTTTTTTTAGAACTTTTAAGTTTTGATGATCTATCGCCTACCTCAGATAATTTATCACATCCCACTGCAAATAGGCCAAAGATGCCCGGCAGAAGACTTCCTACTCGCTTCAATGGCAATGGCAAGAATCCTGTGAGTACATGAACCACTTATATATAAATTACCCATCATAATGGGTAATTTAAATTAACCATGAAACAGGTTCCTGTACACACTTTGGGTCCCAAGCCCAGTTCAAAGCCAGCAGCGTTGGGACCATTCTGATCTCCAAAGGGAGAATGTTCTAGAAGGCGAGTGCTATGACAGAAAAGGCATGTCCTCTAGGCCCCACCAACTGGCATTCCTTAGCCAACAGGCCCCAAAGCATGACCATTCTGCCTGACTGGATTGGACAGGTAGAAACCTTTTGGGCAGAGAAGGATGGGTATTTGGCTTGCATCTGGAAAATAAAAAATATTAGAGTGTTTATGGAGATTCTCAGTCATCCTGGTCATGGTATTTTTTCAAGAGGCAACTGGACCTTCTGGTTGTTCTTCGAAGACGTTTTGCTTCTCATCCAAGAAGCTTCTTCAGCTCTGACTGGATGGTTGGGAACGGAAGGATTTATACTCCTTGCAGAGCTGGTAATTTGCATTCTTTTAGCGAGTTGTTACGGTCACATGGAGGTTTATCTATGTCATCAAGGTCATCTGAGTGGTGCAAATGAGTGTGGAGCCTTCTTGGAACTGTTGAAAGGACTGTGTTGTAGACTGGAGATAGATGATGTCATATCCCTTCCCCTCTATTGAGAGAATGCTGTTCAGTTTTGACATAGATGGCCTCTTTAACTCTCTTTCAAATCAGCAGTCCTTTTGTCCAAATTGTGGACTTTGTTGTCTTCAAAAGAGTGGTCTGTATCTTCTAAATGCAGACGGAGTATTGAATTTAGTCCTGATAGGTTTTTTTCTCCTATGTTCTGCCATGCGTTTATGAAGTGGTTGTTTTGTTTTCCCAATGTACAGATCTGTACATGGCTAACTGCATCATACTTCATATACCACATTGCTCAGTTTGTGTCTGGGTGTTTTATTCTTGGGGTGGACAAGCTTCTGCCTTAGTGTATTCTTGGATTTGAAGTGAGCATGTACATTGTGTTGGCTGGAGATCCTCCTGAGCTTTTCCGATATTCCTGCAACGTATGGAATGACAATGTAACTTCGTTTATTGTTCTCTTCGTTGTCTTCAAAGAAAAACCAGAAAATCCAGTCGCCTCTTGAAAAAAGCACCTTTGGGACAACTATGACCTGGATGACTGAGAATCTCCATAGACATCTACAAGTAAAGTGTTTAGAGACCATATAAACAGATAGGGAAACAGTCATTTATATAAAAGTTTTGCTTGTGATACTCAAGTCAGTTTACAATAAATATCCAAAACTTGTTAAAGAACTCCCACACGAAAATCCTCCCTCCCCCAATCATTGCATCAAATCAAATCCAGTGAACAAGAGAACATTATCCATCAAATGCCTGCTGAAATAACATAGTGTCTTCTGGCTTCCAAAACACTAATGGGTTGAGGACATCACTCACCACATTCCAGGACACAGTGCCTAGTAGTTCTCATTTGGGTAAAACTGTAATAGCATAAATTTTAGTGATCATTGCAGATTGTGGAGTTCCCTGAGGCAGCAAGCCCCATTTGATCTCAGACCATGAATCACAAGGTGAAAAGGGTGGTTACTAAAGCATAGCTAGCCATTTTGTAAAGAAATAGTTGCTAACCCAACGTCTTGAATTTTATTAAAGAATAAAATAAAATGTACCAAATGATTTTATAAATGGATATACTAAAAAGCTTTTAGAGTAAATACACTTCTCAAAAACGCTGATTTCTGTTTTATGTTTCCTTTCTTGGTTGAAGCCTACTCAAAACATAGAAAAAAATGTGAAGGTGCGTAAAGAGGAAGAAGAAAGTGCCAAATTAAAATTATCTGAGTGTAAAAAGGTATGTTGACATTGCTTATGTTTATCTGTACTAAGAAGTCAAAATGATTAGAATATCCTAATCATTTAGTAAGATACATTCTTACTGGAATATTCTAATGCGGTAGTTTTCAATCTTTTCTTCACCATGGACTTTCTTTAAATACCTTTTGTGGCCACGAACCACCAAGACTTAACTCAAGATTTAAATCAAAACATTTCTTCAAGCCTTTGCGGAGCCCCTGTCATGACATCACGGTCCCCCAGTGGTCCATGGCCACAAAAGGTGGTTGAGAACTACTGTTCTAGTGCATTGATCCAGATTTAGCTTGAGTAATTATGGGTGGTGGATTATTAAAGTTAGATTTTTTTTGTGTCAGCCTGATGAATCAAAATGCACAAATACTGTTATTGACTAAATAAAATATTACTTATTATCTAGTTCAGTTGTGGATAACATTGGAAAAACAGCTTTTTGATTAGCTTTCCTCAAATTTCACATCTTTATCAAAGATATTTTTTAAAAACTACACAAATTTTGCTGCTGAATTTTCGGGATATGGTCTCAGGATGCTGGGCAGTATAAATGAGATATTTGGGTACTTTTTGAGATTCACAGCCCACAAGTTGCAATATTCCAATAGGGTAGGGTAGGGTAGGGTAGGGTAGGGTAGGGTAGGGTAGGGTAGGGTAGGGTAGGGTAGGGTAGGGTAGAGTAGAGTAGAGTAGAGTAGAATAGAATAGAATAGAATAGAATAGATAGAATAGAATAGAATAGAATAGAATAGAATAGAGATAGAATAGAATAGAATAGAATAGAATAGAATAGAAATAGAATAGAATAGAATAGAATTTTTTATTGGCCAAGTGTGATTGGATACACAAGGAATTTGTCTTGGTGCGTATGCTGTCAATGTACATAAAAAGAAAAGATACATTTGTCAAGAATCATAAGGTACAACACTTAATTAGTCATAGGGTACAAATAGCAATCAGAAAACTATCGATATAAATCGTAAGGATACAAGCAACAAAATTACAGTCATACAGTCATAAGTGGAAGGAGATGGGTGGTGGGAACAATGAGAAGATTAATAGTAGTGCAGACTTAGTAAATAGTTTGACAGTGTTGAGGCAATTATTTGTTTAGCAGAGTGATGGCATTTGGGAAAAAACTGTTCTTGTGTCTAGTTGTTCTGGTGTGCAGTGCTCTATAGCGTCGTTTTGAGGGTAGGAGTTGAAACAGTTTATTTCCAGTTTATTTCCAGGATGTGAGGGGTCTGTAAATATTTTCACAGCCCTCTTTTGCAGTATAAAGGTCCCCAATGGAAGGCAGGTTGATAGCAATTGTTTTTTCTGCAGTTCTGATTATAATATATCATTTTTCTAAAATAAAAGAGACCACATTTTTATTAGAAGTCTTTATTCATGCAGCAGATTGCAAAATAATTTTGGTTTCCTATGATAATAGTCTATCCATAGTTTTAGTAATCATCAAAGTATCAATCAAGTACCACCAGCCAATATTTTAAGCCATTATTCTATATAAGAATATAGATTTTGCTAGTTCTTCAATAAATGGCTGTGGTGAAACAGTGGTTAGAATGCAATATAGCAGGCTGACTCTGTCCATAGTCAGGAGTTTGATCCTGACCGTTTCAAGGTTGACTCAGCCTTCCATTCTTCTGAGGTTGGTAAAATGAGGACCCAGATTGTTGGGGGAAATACGCTGACTCTGTAAACCACTTAGAGAGGGCTGTAAACCACTGTGGAGTTATATGTAAGTCTAAGTGCTGTTGCTGTTGCTTAGTGAATAAATTTGACTGTATTCTCGCCATTCTCATTTAGATCATTGTTCTTTTGTTTCAGCCATCAAAACTTACTTCACCAGTTCTGACTTCATTACCACGACCAAGTTCTATTGTAATAAATGCAATTGCTGGAGAAGCAAAGCTCAACCAGGAAACAGATGAAGGGGAAAAATATTCTATAGAAGAACTAAGATCTCAGATCTTTGATCTCCTGTTGGCTGTAGAAAGCTTGAAAAAGGAGCATGGGTAAGAGCTTTTCATTTTTTTCCACAATGGCTTTTTAAAGTGGTTTAGGCATCATGAAGTCCTTCTGGTATTGTTGTACTATAGGTCCCATCATGACATACCATTGGTCTTGTCGGCTAGGGTAGACAGGAATTCAACAGTTGGAGAACCATGTATTACAATTCCTACTATATAGGTAGATAGGAAAAACCTACTATATTTGTCATATTAATTCAATGTTTTTATACATTACCAGAATTAGTTTTGAAATACTTTATAATGTGTTTGTTGATAAAGGGCTAGCTGAAACAACTTTACTTTGTTCATAAGTGAGAACTATGTATGTAAGTACTGCAACAGGAATAGCTGAGATTTTATTTTTGATTGCTGGTTTCATGTTTTATTGGTAATATATGAGTGCATACCAGAATATGCACTCAGATACTCATTTCAGTTTCCTTGCTGGGTGAGGAGATTCTGCACTCAGATAAATATGCTCCTTTTAGTTCATAGAGGAAGTATAAGGCGGTTAATACTTGATCATATTTCTGCTCCCAAGGTAGGTCATTCCTACTCTATTTGGAAGCTGCTTATCCTTTAAATTGAGATCTAGCTAGTATATTGCACAAGCTCTGTAAGGATGGTTTTTCACTGCAATTTTTTGTCTGTGCAAATTTTAAAGGAAACAACTGGAAAAACTGAAAAAAGAATTGGAGGAAGAAAAGCAGATGCGAAGTACCTTAGAGGTAAAATATTTAAAAAGAAGCCCAACAGTTTCCATTACTTTCAATAAAATAATGTAAATTCTTAGCAAGAATATAACAAAACAGCTATAGTAAAGTAAACTTTGACTTCTTTAGGCATCTAATTTCAGGGAACAGATGGGGGGGGTTGTGTTTTTTTTTTGCCAATTTTCCTCCTATTCTCTGAGATTTTCTGGGGTGATTTTAAACAATAAGATGGAAGCTCCTCTGAAGTACTATGAAAAGTAGCTGGTGATAAAATGCAAACACAAAATCGGAGGCACAGCGAACTGCTATATTATGTGAATGGCTCTATAAAACAATGATTGTTGATATACAGGTAGTCCTTCACTTATGATCCTAAATGAGCCCAGAAATATGATTGTAAATCATGCCACCCATTAAGCAAGTCATGTGACCAAACTAATTTACAACATTTTTGCAGCTATTGCAAAGTGAACACAGCAGTTGTTAAGCAACTCATAGTTCTCAATGGCATATTTTGCTGGAAAGCAAAAGTAATAACCAATTTCCAACAAAAATTGTGTAAATTGTGTTCACATGACCATAAGATGTTGCAAATGGCTATAAATAATGCGCTGGTTTCTGGGCACACAAAATGTGATCACATAAATGTGGGGGAGCATATGTTGGAACTTCAAATGTGACCAGTTGTTAAGCAAAGACTTCCTGTACTTTATTTGAATTTTGCCATTCAGCTATTCTTTTACTGAAGCCTCAAATTCAGACTACTTGGTACATATTTGAATTTTCACTTTCGTTGTGGCAAGATTGCAATTTTGGAGAAAATATTTTAAAGAGAAAATTGGTAAAAGACTAGGTAAATGTTAGATGTTATTTCCAGCTTTACTATACAAATGACACTCAATTTTAATTTATGTATTTAATCTCCATTTTGTAAACTACAGTACTTTTATATATTTGTAGGAAATATACCGTAATTAGTGTTTCAAAGACTGTTAGTGATTGATCTTTTCCTGGCTTAGAATTTAAGCAGAATTGAGTCTAATTAGTACTTGAATGCAAATTGACATAAAACTGTCAAGGGTGCAGCTAAACAGAAACTTAAAAACACTTCCACATATCTGCGTAGTCACTTGGAGTTAAATCTTGAGAAAATCAAGATGTTTCAAAGATTCTAGGCAATCCACTCGTTCCCATCAAAACTGCAGTCTTACAAGTTTGCAGGAGGTAAAAATCCTCTCCTGTAAAATCTGGTATTGAAATTGAGGGCAAGCGATTCATCTATAAAACTGAGATAGTCAGACCCACAATTGAAAGCTAAGGGTAAAGAATAAAATGGCTACTTTAGATTTAAGATTTTCTCTTAAGATTTCATCTTTAATTGATATTTATTCCAGCTATGGGTTTCCCAGAGAATAAATATTACACTGTACCATAGAGGACTGTGGTGTTAACTGAAAATTCTCTGTTCTTCAAATTTATTTGGTTATTTTCATGCATTTCTAAGATATCCAGCTCAAATATTTGGCAGACATTCAACTCAAACAATGGATGTTTCTGGGCAGCACAGAACAAAAGTAAACAATAAAAAAATAGGAGGAAAGTGTATTATGTGTGTTTGTCACCTTGAGTTATTTCTAAAAATAACAAAGGTGGAATAAAATAAATCAATAAGTAAAAATAACAAGAAAAACATGTTAAAAAACAATGTAAAATGGCAACCATAATTAATAACTCAATTAGACCCAAACACCTGGAGGAAAAGCCATGTTTTAACAATTTTTGAGTTGTTAAACTCAAAAAGTAGAGTTAGAACCCATCATATATTGGAAGGGATTATTTCAGAGCATAGGAGTAGTCACCAAAGAGATGGACTTCCTACATCCCATAAGAGGGCAGTATTTAAACAAGAAAACCTGGAGCATATACTCCAGGCTGATGTTTTGGGGAACAGGCAGTTCCACAGATATTCTGGTCCTAAGCCAAATATGGTTTGAAAAGTCCTAATTAGCATCTTGAAAGGCACCCAGAAGCCTGCTGGGAGTCAATGGAACTAACAATGTGGTTGCATCCCATGGGCATAATGAGCTCCACCATAACTTTCTGGGCTGTTCCATTTAGACTAAATTAAGACTTCAGGTGGTCTTCAAAGGCATTCTCATTGCAGTTAAGAGATTACTAAGGCATGGGTGACTATAAGCAAGACCTGCTGATGTAGGATCAAGCGCAACTGGTGCACATTATGCGGTTGAGTATACAAGAATTGATGATGCTTTATTCTGTACCAATATATAATCTCACCCAATGGCTTCATGTAGGTATTAAAGAGGGGAGGGAGAGAGTAGAGTCATGAGGCACTTTGCAAAACACTCATTAGTAGCAAAGCCTTGAATCATTGAATTCAAACCTTCAGAACCATACAAATTGGGATTCAGTTTCTTGAAATTCCTTGAATGAATTTGTTTTTGGTATCCATTTTTGCTTGTTTTCTGATGTGTTTTATTTATTTCATCCTTCATTGCATTAATTGCCCAGAGTTGCTTTATGTGAGACAGGCAGCCATATAAATTTAAATAAATAAGTTACATGGAAGAAGCTGTTGTGGTGTTGCTGCTGCATAAGACTGTCAGGGCAGAGGATAACTTATCCCAGTAATAAATTTCAAGAATATAATAGAATGAAGAGCAGTACTAAATTTAAAATATATTTGATGGGTTGTAAATGTGTATGAAATATGAAGCATTCTCTATTTGATTAATTAATTAATGTTTATTATTTATATGATTCACAGATGGAAATAGAAAAGCTCAAGAAAGCTCTCATAACTACATGAAAGAGCCGCATTCCGTTGATCCTTAATGTGCCAGGATTTCAGAATCAGAAATGAAATTGACTTTTTTAAACCTCAAGCCAACGGATGATAGCATTCCATTAGAAAAAAAAATCTGAGTATAATCTTATTTATATTCTGTGAGCTATGAGGAAAAAAATGGATAGCTTTTTTGTTTGTTTCTTGCCAATATAGGAGAGGCCTTATTTCTTACTGTGCAGTATGGCAGGGTTTGCTTGAGAATACTACTGAATCTGTATAAAAGGGGGGTTCTTAGTATATTTTTATTGAATATACCCTAATTTTAAGAGATCTGTACTATAAATAAGGCAATATAACTTTGCAAATAAACTGTAAAAATATATAGTATAGGAGAGAGGCAAATGGTATAGTTTTGTACGTTTACTAGTCTTTTCATCATGCTAAAGGGAATATGACGTTAATCATATGCTGTTTTATTGTTCAGGTCTTTTGAGTTTGTTCTCACTATGAAGCAGAAGGATCACCAAACTCTACCACTATGATATTGTAATATTTCCTTAACTGAGAATCCAAAGTACAGTACTGTGATTCTTGCACTATAGAATTTATAGAAAAGGTCTATAATTAGGACATATGGACACATATAAACACATGAATACTTAGAAAAATCAAGGGATAAAATTGAGATAATCCTATAATATGACATTTTTGCTAATTTCTACAGAATTGACATGTTAAATATTCTCTTGAGTGTTTCATTTCTTTTTACAAATTATAAATCTAACACTACAATATTATGAGCTTTAAAATGCTTTGCACTAATAATTGTAAAATTTTAAAAACCTACATATAACAAAATATTTAAAGCTACCAGTTTTCTAAATGCAGTCTTAAAATAAGGGTATATCATCTACATAGTTGTTAAAGAATTCAGTAAATCAATAATGAGTTTTTAGATAAATATTTGGCTTATGTTTTAAAATTCAAATTGAATTACTGTATATTTTTAACAAAGTTTCTTTGAGTCATCTTGTTTTAAGTTATTTCTACAGCCTAAAATCCCATTTATTTTCTGTAAAGAAGAAAAACTGAACTTATTCAGTGCTCTGTTCAAGCCAAAGATAAAAGTATAATTCAGCCCTTTTTTCTTCTAGCATTGCTATCCTAAAACTTCATTGAAAGAGGAAACTGTTTCATTAATGATTTTAGGCTTGTTCTAAATGAGTGGAATGTTTTGATGCCTATGTCCTGTTTTATATGGCAATAATATTTTGTCTTGGATGTGAGCAAACCATGTTGGTGTTTTTAACATAAATCTTAATTCTAATTGCAATTATAAATCAGTGGATTAAAATTGGAAATGAAAAAATGGGTGTGTAAAGTCATGATGCCTGTTTGCTTACTATATATATACAGAGCTAATAACATATAACTAATATATCACTTAATGATCATCCTCTGTTGCCAGTTTTTTCTTAGTAATCATAGTAATAAATAATGTTCTCAGATTATTAATTTCTAGCTCAAAGAGATTCATTTCATACTAATTTATAAAGAGATTGATTATTCTTGGCTTAGTAGTCAAAATTACCATTTGTGGGTTTATTGGCCTCCTCATTTTGCAGAGAATTCAGAGATGGGAGGCATGTTTGGTCTTGAACAGATCATTTGCAAGTAATCCCCTGCAAAATTTAGGAGAAAGAGCAATAAGCCATCTTCTTCAACAAACATGGTGGACTGCAGACAAAAAAGTTGCCCATCCTCCAAAGTACCTAAAGTACCATTGTATTTTGTTGTTGCTGTTTTATCTAAAAAGTAGTTAGAAAAGCTTCCCCCACTTTTCTTTGTCATAGGAAAAACTAGTTTTTTATATTTCCGTGAATAGCAGCAGTTACACATTCTAGGTGTCATTTTGCAGAGTTTTGCAGAATAGAAACTTAGAAACCATTTGCCTTTTCTCTCCCAATGTTCATTAAAGTATTATTTTTTTTCCAGTACAAGGTAGCTTTTTGATAGCACCTTCAACCCTGACTTTCTATTTTTTTTAACCTACACACACACACACACACACACACACACACACACACACTAACACTATACAATTGAGAAAGCATGGGGAATTTTAAAACGTGACTTTGGGTTTACAAACAAAAAACAAAAAATAAACCCAAGCACCAGCAATGAGAGATAGTTCGTACTTTCTTGGGAACACTCCAGCATAGAGCAAAGCTGCCTTTTCTTTATTCCATATCCCCACAGAAGAAAGATATTTTTTCTCTCTTGCAAGGGGATTTTTTTAAAAAGCTGCAAGGATTTTTTCACCAAAAATCCACTTCTTCCTTCTGGTAACTGAACTTGAAGGGAAAATGACTTCTTCATTCTTCCTAGGATAAGAAAAGGAATGATTTTCCTCTTCCCTTCATACTTTTTCAGAAGCAGAAATAATAAGTAAAAATGGTGCCTTAAAAAGAAAAGCCTTACTTGCACTAGTCAAAACATAGTTCTGTTCCTCCCCAAAGCTATACTGAATTGTTCCACAACTAGAGGTTTTGGTGCAGTACCGAACCTGGGCAGAGTGGAACAGCACACTCAGTAAGAGGAGATAGATGTATGATCTCTTAATTGATCAAATCCATCCTAAATTAAACAAAATGGCCTTGAGTGTTGAAATTTGAGAGGTTTTTTTCTGATTTCAGTTCCTTTACACCCTACCATGATTATGCAAACAAGAATTGGTTTTAATTTAAAAAAGGTTATTTATATACTCCTTATTTAGAACCTGAATGTGAGGCAGAATAGGTCACTGTAAAACAGTTTTTTTCTACCTTGAAGCTTATAGCAGATAAATTTAAGACAATCATGGAACTCAGAAGTGTTAATTATTATATTGTCTTTTTTCCTGTAGCAATAAATAACCAAGTGCAATGACTGATGTAATAAATCCTAGAGATTGCCACTATGAAGGGTTTTTTTTTTAATGATGGCTATTTTCTCTAATGTCTGTCTTTATGCTCTGTGATGGGAAATGGGACTGGATGCAGACATTCCAAAGAATAAAATTTTTTTCAAGGAGGAATCTTTACTGACTTGTTTACAGGTGCTGCAAAATTATGTATGCTATCAGAATGCCACAAATAAAATTATATGCTGTTAATGTGAAATGTATTTTTGTTTAAAAGCATTCAAACATCTTTTATGTCACTCAACTGTATTTGTGTACAGAGAAAAGGACATTTGTGTGATTACAAAACAAATAATTCTATTTACATGTGAGAGGTGAGAAAATTTTTGTCACCACTGATTTTCAATTTTTAATTTTTAAGATGTCAGTACAATATAGTACAATCAAAATTTTTACTAGATGGAATAAGGTAACATTATTTAATGATACCATGGTCTTGAATTCAAAACCATCTTTGAGGAGGTGAATGGAAATATTAGGGAAATCTGGAAATCTGATTAGTATAAAATTGATGAGATAAAAGCTGATATTCGTACTTCTTGTGAAACAAAATAGGAATTAGACAACTGGGAAGATGGAATGACAGCATTTCCTCTCCAGAACCAAGATGCAATCAGTGGCACAGGAGTGGGCAGCCTGCGCCCAAAGCAGTGTTTAGGTCTTTTTCTTTCTTCAGTGGAATATGTAACATTTTAAGAGAAAACTTTGTTAATTATAATAAACGAGTCCTCAATATTAAAGTATACTAACAAAATAATAGAAGGGTGACACTGCAAGTAGATTAACTGATACTTCTCTAAATTAGTTTAGCCTGATCAACAAATAGTGAAGTACTAAGCCAGAGCTGTCAAATTCCCGGCCCATGGGCCAGGTGCGTCACACTCTGGTTTAGCGAGATGCTTGGTTTAGCGAAGGGGGAAAAAGTCCCGATACATTACTTGATGATGCCATGATGCCGTGAGTTTGACACCCCTGTACTAAGCAAACTAATTCTCTTAGCCTTGAATAGTTTGGCTATGTCTCTCTGATCAAACTTAAAATCCAATTTGGAATAATTAAAAGTTATGACAAAAAAATTTCAGAATTGCTAGTAAAAGCCATGTTCACAATGTCTTTGTCATTGCCCTTGTTTTCACTTAGTTAAGACCAATCTCTGAAGGGGCCATGAAAATGAGCAATTACATTCATTTTGTGCTGCCATTTGCCATATTCTCCATTGAGAGTGGAGACAGCAGCCAGTATGGATAGTACTCGCCCAATCAGCCTGAAGGACTGAGTCTGTCAATAATGTTAAGTCCCACCCTTGTTGCCGGGCAGACCAGCTTTTGACTCAGTCCTTCAGTCTGGACTGGCGCATTGACCACAGTTTAAAAAGCAAATTTGTGGTTAGTATATCCCCAATCCCAATTTAGGCAAATAGAATTTCTTAGTTTCCCTTTAGGGACTACTTTTTGCAAGGAAACATATTAAATCAGTTACTCTGTCTATTTATCACAGGGTATCTGCTTGTGGAGAACATTGTTTGGTTTTCTCCCACTACCTACCAAACCTGTTCTCAATGGTACAATAGTAAAAGGTGATATAAACTAAAAAAGGGGGGGCGGAAAGAAAGCAAATAAAAGATGCAAGAGAGAGAATAAACTCTTAAGAAAGCAACTTCCTATTCACATCATAACAAGTGTAAACAATTTCACTCTCTTTTCACCTCTTAATTAACAGATTAAAAAAAAACTTCATCCTATAATTCAACTATAAGGAAATTCAGGAAGTAATATCTTTTCCAATTCAGCTGCTAAGCAAAAACATTCAAACAGAGCTCTAAAATAATATTACCTAACAAACATAAGACTCGTCATTCTATATCTTGACTCTTAACTGAGTAAATCCACATTTAAAAGGTATAAAGTAGTCCCAGTATCCTAGTATAAACCAAAGGCTGAAATTATACATGACAAAGGGGACAATATATCCTTTAAAGTGAGCAAGCTCATAAAGTTCTCTTAATTTAAATGAAAAGACAAGTCAATTTAGATGCTGCTAAACTTGAACATGTTTAAAGGCTTAAACATTTCCCCCCTTCCATTCAATTGTGCCTAACTCTCGGAGTCTGCTTGAACAAGTTACTGCAGTTTTAGGGGCAGTTTTTCAGAATTTCACAATTATCCAGCTGGCTTTGTGCCTCAGGCAGGTTTAGAACTCATGACCTTCCTGTTTCTAGCCTAATGCTTTAACCACTATACAAAACTGACTCTCCAAACACCATATTAACCATAAGCAAATCCAGTTCAGATGTCAGCAAGTCCAAAAAGAACCACCCAAAACAATATGTCCCAGTTTTAACCCTGATTGAATAAAGTAAATTTGTGTTCTTACTTTTTGCATAAAACAATCTTGCTCTTTAATCCATTCAGATGATTGTTGATTCTTGTCTCAAATTTCTTCAAAAATTTTAAAAGCCTCTTTTCTAAGTCCACCCAAAAAATATTATACCAATTACTCTCTGGGATTGGCATTCTTATTTTGTTTTTTTTAAAGCCTCGTCTGATTTTTTTTTATGTCTAATGACAAATTCTTGTTCACATTCTCAGATAGATTTTGTTGCAAATCTTTTTCTATAACAGCCTCATCTGGGAAATAGAATGTTGCTAAGAACAGACAACATAGCTGACATCAATGATTCAAGGTCCCAGTGCAATTCCTCAAAAATGTCTTTGAACACCAACTTGCTTATCTTGTTATTTCTCTTCTAGTATCTCCAATATTGAAAATAACTTTCCTTTCTCACAAAAATACAATTATTCTTTAGAATTTATTTCAAAGTATTAATATTCAAAATCAAATATTCCAACTTTTCAATCCCTTAATCTGTTTAAAACTTTCTAAACATCTTGTTTTTTGCTGTTTATTTTATATTCTTAAAGCTTTTAAAGTACCGTAACTGTTAAGAAATATTAAGGAATGAAGACATTCATCTGTGTTTCCAGCCTTGTTATTTTTAAAGTAGTTTTTAAAGTAGTTAATAATCAATTTCTAATAGCTGATTAGCAGAGGAAATGCGAATTTATATTCCCTTGGTTCCTGGTTTGCTACCTTGAGATTTCATGAAAAGCCACTCTATGGAGCACAGCTTGTGTGAACATACACTCTGTTCGCCCAGAGTGGGTCAAAGAAGGTGATCTGCTCGTTCACCTGTCTGTTTTTAGTTGCAATTGTCAATTCCACTTACATGGATCTGTCTTCACGCCTCCATTCTTCTTCAGAAGTCATCTAGCCACTGTTGTTCTGATGTCACACCCAAATTTCACAAGACACAATTTCTTTGGATTTTCATTGACTGTTGATTACATCCTATGATCTACAAGATCATAATTCCTCCAAGCAAAGGTTAGAGACCTTCAGGTTTATTTAAATAATTTTTTATACAAACTATTGCTCCAAGTAGTCTTGCCTAGATTTAAATTTAGAGAATTCAGGCTTCATTTGATTATGGTTTTCACCTTCTTATCATGTCTGATCCTCCATTCACAGCCCACTGGAGCTTCTTTGGTTCATTCTATCTAGACTTTAGTAGGTTCTATCATTGTCCCACATTTCTTCTTCAGAGCATCAAAAATTAATCTGTCTGGCTGTATGGAATTTTAATGTATAGAACATTAAAAAAAAAATTCCTAGATTTATTTTTTACCCACTCAGTTGACTTCATAGTGTAATCTTATGTGTGAATACAACCATCCTAGTTCTATATAGATATTACAGTAAGTAGCGTAATGCAAATAAAACCCTGGCAACCTAGAATTGTGTTTGTGACAATGTTTTCCACAAATCTAAATAATCAGTGGGAAATTGGATCCTATGCTACTAACTGTGGATGAATGGAGTCTCAGTATTGCTTACTTGGAACAGACCAATTACATCTTTCCTTTATCTGCTTTTAGGAAACTGAAATCAATCTTCAGCCTTATTCTGATGTTATTTAGTCAAGCACTTGGAAACTTACCCAAAATCATAATCTTAAATAAATCTGTCAGTTATCTATTTTTGGAAATAGCAACTTCCACATAATTCCTCTTTGCAATTCTCCATTATCATTTGAAGTTGATTAAGACTGTCCCTCTGGGGACGAAAGCAGAAAGGATGTTATCTCTTCCCTAAAAGGTTACCACAATTTCATCTGGCTGTGAAGATCCTCAGGCATCAATATATCCAATGAAATAAGCACCCTATAAAGCAAAAGCCTAACTTAACTATGAAGAGTGCTGATAAGAAAAAAATATCTCTAATTAACATTCTGCAATTTTCTTAGCACTTCCAAAATGCTGCCCTTAAGGCACAAACATAACTTTACTAATTTTGTCCATTTAACTTCTAGCTTTCCACAAAAAGCACACGTTATGGGTGTCTAATTGTGTCAAATCTGATTGAAAGCCAGAACACCAGGGTGTTATGATGAATTTCTCTAAATCACTGGAGTGCTTTTCAAGTGCAAATACATCTTACATTTTAAGCATGCTCAATTAAGAATCCCATCTCACTAGATATATATAGTTCCCAATATATCAAATACTGGGGACTGAGAATACACACCACCACCATCATTTCCATTCCTTGCTTTGTCAAATGTTGATGGTAGGCATTTTCAAGAATGCCTCTGAGTCCCAAATGGTCTCCACAGAAAATAATAATGCTGGGGTACTTTAGCCTAGTCCTGGACATGGGTTTACCTGCCCAGAAAATGAACAAAGGTAAGTAGAGGTAGTAGGAAGCATCCTGCAGGGGCAGGAGAGGAGCTAAAGGAATGGCAGAAGGCATTCTGGTATTGTGCCCACATCTTCTACCTGTTGCTGCATCTAATTGCAAGTGTAAAATTTCCTAAGATTATTGCAAATTAGTAAATAGAATAACAGGTCATTATAATGGAGGATTAGAAGGCCTCTAAGATCCCTTCCGTTAGTCTGTTATTATGTCATTCCATCTGACAGTAGTTCACACATTGCATGAAGCCAAGGTTTGCTTTATCTAGGTTCTGTTGAATAAACTAGAATGGTTGGGCTTTACCATAATTTATTTATTTATTTATTGGTTCGATTTATATACCGCCCTTCTCCAGAGACTCAGGGTGGCTTACAATGCATTAAGCAATAGCCTTCATACTTTTGTATATACCTGCTTAGTAGGGCTTTCGGCCACCCCTAACGGTGTTCTTTTTTATACAAAGTCAGCTTATTGCCCCCACAATCCAGGTCCTCATTTTACCTACCTCGAAAGGATGGAAGGCTGAGTCAACCTTGAGCCTGGTGAGATTTGAACTTGCAGTAATTGCAGGTAGCTGGTGCTATTTAACAGCACTTTAGTGTGCTGCACCACTAAGGCTCATTAATATTAAATCAAACCAGGTTTACAGTCTATAGTTGCTGAGTCCACATAATAGTGTAAGCTAAATCAAACAAATTCCAATAGTGCTTAATGCTGGAGTCCTCAGTGTGATGTCACCGGGACCAATGTGTCCCTTGGCACCCTCAAACTGCTATACCCCACCTGACATTTTGCTTTGTGATATCGCTCTCCAGCACCTTCAGTCTCAATATGTTCTCAAAATCCAAGTGTGCCCACTGAACAAAATAGTTGGAAATTCCTGAAGTAGAGCAATCTGTGATATGCATCAGCCTTAGCAATTATGTTACAGGCAGAATCAGAGGTGGATTTCAGCATGTTCTGACCAGTTCTGGAGAACCGGTAGTGGAAATTTTGAGTAGTTCAGAGAACCGGTAGTAAAAATTCTGATTGGCATAGGCCTCATCTATTCTCTGCCTCCCAAGTCCCAGCTGATCGGGAGGAAAGGGGGATTTTGCAGTATCCTTCCCCTGGAGTGGGGTGGGAATAGAGATTTTACAGTATCATTCCCCTGCCACTCCCACCAAGCCACGCCCACAGAACCAGTAGTAAAAATATTTGAAACCCACCATTGGGCAGAATCCAAGAATAAATCTGACCTCATGGAGACGTGAATGTACTATTTATGTTCATGAAATAGACTTGACCCTTGGCCAACTTCAGCAAAACCACTGCTGATTAATTCCAGATATTTTTTGTGGTTTTGCATTACAGGTACTCTTCTGTTCTGAACTACTGCAGTTGTTAAGTGAATCACATGGTCATTAAGCAAATCCAGCTTCCCCATTGACTTTGCTTGGCAGAAACTGACTGGGAAGGTTGCAAGTGGTGTTCATGTGATCCTGGGACGCTGCAACCATATGTAAATACATAATGGCTTCCAAGCACCCAACTTCTGATCACATGACCATGGGGATGTTGCGATGGTTGTAAGTGTCAGGACTGGTCATAAGTCACTTTTTTCATGGCCATTGTAACTTTGAACGGTCACTAAATGGTTAAATCAAGAATTACCTCTAGTGAGATATTTAGAGAGACAAATTAGTCTCTCAAGGTATAATTTAAAATGAGACCAACATTACAATATTTTATCTTCTCGAATTCAGATAAAAAATGTACAATTAATTTTCTTCTTCCCTACAATAAAACCTAACAGTTATACCTGGGGAAGGTAGTCTAGTAAAATGATCACTTGTCTGCAGAAATGCCTACCTATATACCACTTTCCAGGCAATATTGTTATGCAGCACCACACAAATCTGAAGATCCCATCAGTCGGGAAGCTGAGATAATTTTAACAAAAGGAATGGGTTATAAATTGTAAACTGCTCAAACATTATAAATACATTATGAATGTTTTTAGTCTTATCATATTCCCTAACAGCACCCAGAAAAGTTGTCCTTGCGTCCCTTTCCATTTAATCTGAAGATTATTAATCCAATAAAGGCCATAGTACACTACTATTGTTTTCATACATTTGCTCAAACCAAAAACTGCTCTTAAATCATACCATTTTTGAAACACTGTAACCATTTTCCAGTTTCAAATACCTTTCCTCCTCTTATGTTAGGGATTCTAAAATTGTGTACTTCCGATATTGGTATGTCTCCATTTAACCTTTTCACTGACAGATACTAGGAGCAGAGCCTTAAAATGCCACAATTGTGCTTGTTACCATTTTTAGTGAGCTGACAATTCAGCTGGAATCAGGAAGTAAAATTGTTACCTCACATTTTAGCCCCCACTTGTCTTCCTTCCCAACCTACTGTATTTTCAAAGCTGTTAAAAGTCTACTCTCAGTTTGGTCTCCTTCCTCCTCTTCCTACGTGGATGATTTTTTAATATTTTTTGCCCTTAGACGCTTTGTATTATATTTCTTAGTCTTTTTCCCTTATCTTCTCTTTTCATAGACCCAATTTAAACTTTAATCCCAGTCAAAATTCAATCTTTCCTTTTCCTATTGAGATATTGGAATGTTAAAATATGGACTGGGACTCTGCATTAGCAGTCCAGTTATCACTGGTCTCATGGAAAGTCAACTTCTCAGTCACAAGGACCAGAAGAAAAATAGAGCATAGATTCCCAGAGAACTTTTGTTAGTTTTGCAAGAATAGTTTAACTGCTGTGTAGGAATGGAAGCATTTCTATAGGGGCAAAACTCCAAAATCAACTAAGCTATATTAAAAAGCTATTTCAAATATAAAACTATTCAGGTATCAAAAAATTCTTACCAGACACCGAGACCGGCAATCCTGCTATTTTTATATCAAATAGAATTCACTTCATCTGCAGCCTATAAGAACTTGTCTGGAGCATCTTTTAGATGCAAACACTGTACCATATTGAATGGCATTTCCCTACAGTGTCTTTCTAAACTTTCAGGGTTTGATCCAACCCATTTGTGCTCAATGACCATTTTTACACAGTTTTTCTTACTGATTTTGAAGAAGAAAAAATACTTTAAAATCCTCTACTGAGTGGGAAAGAAAAAACTTTTTTAACGCACTTCATGCTGATTACCACACAGCGTAGCTAGTGGTGGATTACTTCCATATCTTATTTCTTAGAGCAGGGGTGTCAAACTCGATTTCATTGAGGGCCACATCAGGGTTGTGTTTGACCTGGGGGGGGGCAGGGTGTGTGTGGTCAGGGTGGGCGTGGCCAGCTCAACATCACTCATGTCGGGGGCACCTCTGGTGGCCTGGGCATGGCTGGAGGGATCCTAGTGCGGCCCTCCCAAGCTCCATTTTTGCTAGCAGAGGCACTCCGGGCTGGACCTTTGCTGTTTCCAGGGTGGCCCCGTAGGCCAGATCTAAGCACCCCACAGACTTTGAGTTTGACACCTTTGTCTTAGAGAGTAAACTAGGAAGAATGGGGACACTGATTAGTTGGGCAACTATTTCTGGGTGAATAGATGGGTTAAAGCAGGGATTCTGAAAGTGCTTGACCCAATTACTCCTTTCCTCAGTCTTGAATAATGTCATTAACATGATCCCCATGAAGAGAGAGAGAATGCTGTTTTACACAGTTGTCTCAGCAGCAGGAATCAACTGAATCCTCCATTTACGAACAAGTAATTGCAAATTGCTGCATTATCACCCAGGATAGGCCCTAAAGATCCTACTCTAGTTCAAGTACTTCTGGGTTAAAAAGTCTGACTACAGGCAAGGTAGTCGGGGGAACAAGGACCATTCTTTTGAAGAGGATCTTAGTGACTACGGAGATTCCCCAATCTCTGCAAAAGGGCCTTTACCACTTCCCAAATTTGCCAACTACATACTTCTCTGCTCAGTTGAGTAAAATGATCAAATTGCTCTTGAAGAGCTACAGGCTGTGGCTTGTGGCGTCTCTTAAAGACCACACATTTTAATTATAAAGTTCCAAACCAACTGAGGCTCGGATAGTTGAAAAACTACCTCTTCCCATTTAGTTGTTGTTAGTTGCAAAGTCATGTCCAACCCATCGTGACCCCAAGGACAACGTTCCTCCAAGCCTTCCTGTCCTCTACCATCCCCCGGAGTCCATTTAGGCTCACGTCTACTGTTTCAGTGACTCCATCCAGCCACCTCATTCTCTGCCACCCCTTCTTCTTTTGCCCATTTAGAGCCCCCCATAATTTCCTGTCTTCCTCAGAAGCTTATAGTGTATGTCATCCCCCCCTCCCCAAGGGATCAGGTTGGGGAGGATATAGGAAATTGAAGTATGTGGAAGCAGCAAAATAATGCACTTGTTCTTTATCTTTACTCTTCCAGATGTTATTCATGCAGACATTGCAATTCTTCCAACTGTCTTACACCTTCTGATCTCATGGATGCAATCACCACGTTGATCAGTTTTAGAGCCTAGGAAGATGAAGTCCTTTACTATTTCTCATTGTCCAGCTGCACTCTGACCTGTGTTCTCTCTGCAGTTGTCTTTATCTTTGTTTTCTTGATATTAAGGTGCAGTCCAACATTTTCACTTTCATCTTTGACTGTCAGGATTAGCCAGGGTTAGCCATTCCAGATGTTCTATCATCTGCAAATTGGAGATTGTTGTATAAAAGTACACATGCATGTTGACATTTTATACATGCACATTAACCTGTTTAAATTTAACAGACCTTTGGGACTAATGGAATTATACTCAAGAAGCCTGCCTCTCTTCCAGGTGATTTATCTTTCTCCTGGGGCGTCTAGTAAGAAAAGGAATATCTCATCCCTAATTGTGGATCTCTTTACAGAGTTTATTTATCTCCTTAGTCAGAACATGCAGGTACACAAGAGGTACAGCAAGAACTTTACGGTATGGTTATTCGACAGGCAGCCTGGAGAGCACTCAACTCTCTGGCCCATTCTCCAAATTGGCTTTCCTGGCTTCTGCTATAGTTTCCTGTAGCTGCTCCTTAGCTGCAGCGCTTCTGTCGGCTTCTGTCTTGGGTCCCAAGATCTTCCTCTCCAAACGGTTGCCCAGCATCTCCTCACATATGAACTTTCAGCTCTTCTCATCAGAAGGACTCAGCTGCCTAGCCTCACCCTGCTATTCCTCACCCAAAGCTTCCCACCGGCCCTCCTTCATTGTTGCCCCTGCAGCTTTTATGCCAGGCAGTGGGGGAGGGGGCTAGTTGCAAATGCTTTCCTTTCTGAGGGGTCCTTGAGGATCTCTGAGCTTGCTTGTTTTCTTGCAGGCGTTTCATTACCTAAACTCAGAGAGCACCAAGGACCCCACATTTCAACCCTGAGCTACAAATATTCTCTTTTATTGGGCTTTTGTTTTTCTCCGATCTCAGTTCTCCCTCCGGACTTCTGCCCACCTCAGAATCAGGTTCTTTTATATGTTTCCGAGATAGGGCACACTCTCTCTGCCTTCTTCCAAATCAGTTCTTCCACCATCTATCCCATTGCCCGGCCTTTGGGGCTTAATTAAACCCTAACCTGGCAGCTGCCTTTTGCAGGAAATCTTCCTGTCTCTTCCTCTCCCCAAGATATGCACCTCTGTTTGCTTACGAGGACCCTGAATCTGAAGACCTGGGTATTTATCCAGCATACCTTTGCTGTTGTGGCCTTTTCCTCCTCCCCTCAAAGCAAGGGGCTGCTCAAGTTACAGGAGCTGTCACCTCCATCCCTCGTCCCCTTCCAGCAGAAACTGCAAAAAAAAAAGGAAAAAAGGAGAGGGGGTTTATCTTAAACAGAAGAAAGCAGTGAAGCAACGAGGAGATGAGAAGGAAAAGGGGAAGAAAAGAGAAGTTGCCTTCCTTAGAGGAGAGGCTGATGGTCTGTAGTGGGGCAGGAGAAATGGAGAGCAGTAGCTGGTATTATTCTGTCCTGCTTCTCTGCCTCTCAGAACCAGTGTACAACTGAGCAGTGCAGAAATCTTAGAAATAAGTAAATAAAATTAGCCTGTTTAACAATAAAGAATTTAAAAATGTTTGAAAAAACAAGATTTAATATATAAGTTCCAAAGATTTTTCTGCTTTCCACAATAAAGCAATGTTTCAATAGCTGCTCCTTTTAAACAGCGTTCCCATTCTGCAAAGCTAAAGCAATCCCATCTATCTGCTTTAGAGATGACCCAGGAGCAATTGTCTCCTGTAAATACAGCATATGGATTGTGATGCACTTCCAATGTTTCTTTGTATGTTAAAGAGCACATTTATCCATTAGGGATTCAGAGAGTATTGCAGATACTCTCTGCAATAGAGAGTATATAGAGTATACTCTATTACTATATACTCTCTCAGTATACTCTCAGTCAGCAGTTTTAATAATCAAATGCATTATCTAAGCTGTTGCACATTAGCGGTTTTTGAGAATTAAGCAACAAGAATCAGAATTACAGAAGCAAAGGAGGGATGGGCTATTTAGGGAGAGGGTTAAATGATTAATACAGTTGTTCACAGATTTCTTCTTGCGTAAATTTAGTTTGCACTTTACTAATGCAAGCAATAGGTGTTAAAATGTGAAGTGTCTCAGTATACAAAGACAATTCTCTTAAAGCTAAAAATATGTACAAGCATTTCTCCTCTCCTCTTTAGTAAAAATACATGCAAAATTAATGGTGCTCAGTTAAAAGGGTTTTTTTTATTTTTATTTTTTTCATTTTTAACCAGAACAAAACATAAAAACAACCATCATTGAATACAATCACAGAAAGTGTGTCGATCGGTTAAGATTCTTTTGTGATTAATCTCAAATCCAAGATTACAAATCATTTAATTTCTTTTATTTGACAATTTTATATATCCCTTTATATTATTATTCTCATTTAGATGCTCAGTTAAAAGTTTGAGTTGCACTCTGACTTTGATAAAGCAGTTGGAAAGTCAACAGTCTCTTTGCATTCTCACATTCTTTATTTATTCCAGATCGCTTTGGAAGGTGCAAATGTAATGCAAACTGTCATTTCACTTCAGTGCACTTTTTTCTCTCATGACAGTATGCATTGGCCCCAGAGAATTTGAAAATCCGACTGGAGAATTTTGTGTGAAGTACTTCTTGTTTTGCAAGAGGCAATGGGAAAATATGCATCCTTTCTAATTGATATTGTTGGGGTTAGAAAATACTATATAACAGATGCTCTCTAGTTAGAAAATATAATACCAGTTGAACAGAAAATCCTATCCTTGCATATTGTACATTTTGTTGGAAGAAATGTCCATCTGGGTTCAGTTCCAAGTGGGGAGAAAGACACTGGAAACATGGAGACGGCTTGAAAAGATGGCTTAATGGTGGACAGGACCATGTGGTTTTGAGGTCCGGGGCAAAAAAGCACATGGGTGAGAGAGAGAGAGAGATTTATACCCTCTGTTGGGCTTTGAATTTGAGCTTGTATTCTGGTTGGCTGTCAGATAGGGTTGCCAGGTCTGCTTTCAAAAAATAGCGGACAAGCGGGGTGTGTGTGTGTATTAAGTAGTAAAAAAAAAAAAAAAAAATTACAATTACATTATATATTTTCTTACAAACATTTTAACACGTATTAAAATAATCACTTCAAAACTTTACTTAAAATTCAAAACATCAAATATAATAATATGTAAAATATTAAATTACATTTTACTTTGCTGTCGTGTGTATTTTTTATTTGACTGCACAGCTTTGATCAATTCTTTGTGTTTAAGGAATAATTCTTTAATTTCAGTACAACGTTGAGAAATATTAAAAAATATACAAAGTTCACTTCGAACTGATACAAGCAGTCGGTTACGTTTGTCAGTCCACAAATTTCCCATGACGCTGAAAATTCGTTCAACGTTTGCATTTGATACCGGAATTGATGCACAATACTGGAACAGTTTCAGTAAACTCAGAGCTGGCTCTTTCTTGAAAAAGTACGTCCACTTATCAAGGGATGAATCGCCCTGCAGATGAACATAAACTTCTTCTAAGGCAGAAATTTCATCAAAGAGAGTGTTGGGTGGAAGTTCTTCTCGCCATGGTGATAATAACCAGATGTTCATCATTTCTTCTAAAGTTGGAGGATTATTGCGATCAATTAGATTGAAACAACTTAGCGTCTCATATACTGAATCGGTGAAATTATACCACTTTTCTAGGTACGCAATGGCTCTTTGATACACGTTGATGGCTTCTTTCTTGAACTTTTGCACGGCATTCTCAGGCAAATGTTTTTTACGTAAGGCAAATAAAACTTTCATTCCAAAAAACTGCTCATCATATTTTTTTTTTTGCAAAGAATCATGCAGCTTACACATGATAATGTGAAGATCACATGCAAGAATTTTCTTGCTTTCCAGCTTCAGTAGGGTGTCTTGCATTATTGACATGAAGAAGTGCGTGAAATATAAATACAATTCTGAAATTGTTGGTTCATCGTCCTTTGCAAGTTCATTTTCCTGATCCGAAATAAGGTTCCAGATAACCTTATGGCACTCATCAGATCCAAAAGAAATAAAATACGATTTTAGAGGTAGCCAGTTTAAAAGAAGTCTTTCGACCGCTTTAAACAAACTTAACCAACGTGTTGGAACATGGCGCAAAACTTCATGGAATTCTGACTCACAAAACTGAAAAAATGATTTTAACTCTTCTCGTTTCTTCGCAGAATTCGAAAATTCAGCAAAAACCTTCAGCACTACATTTTTGATATCAAAAGATAACTGTTTTAATGCATTTTTTGCACTGTTGTGTAAAATGTGATTACTGCAATGAGCATTCGATCTTTGTCTCATTCTAACTTATGAAAAAAAAGACAAAACGCGATTCTCCTATCCTTATTCTCTTAGACTGTACAGCTTTAGATTACGTACCATTTCATCATAAAGCTTTTGAATAAAAAAAATGTCCATTATTTTGTGAAAAAAAATAGTGAACATAATGTGAAAAAAGTGGACTGTCCGCTCAAATAGTGGACACCTGGCAACCCTACGTGTCAGACTCCCATGGGGCCATGCAGGGGTAACTTTGTAGGCTGTCTTTTGAGTTCCAGGCCTGGTTGAATCTTTCTGGGTGATGATGTAATGAAGAGTGTTTTGGGCAATTCCTATTATGACTTATCCAATATCCTATTAATCTTACCTTTGTTGGATCTTGGGTGAGGGCATATGCTTATGAATAGACTTAGCTATCTCTTTATCTCTTAAGTGCTGACATCTGCTGTGGGCTATTGAAAGTGTGGGAGCTATTAAGAGAGAGTCTGCTTCCTGCCATCCAGGGAGGTATAATATTCTGCCTTTTTAATATTTCCTAGAATATTTCATTTTTCTAGGAGGGCGGTGGGTGCTAACTTCCTACAATTTTTTTAAAAAAAATCTAATTCTCAGTTTGCAGATAAGAAAAAAAATAGGAACTATTTCTCTACTATAACTTTCTTAAATTTCATTTGTCACATGCCTTAGCTTTTTTAAAAAAAATAGAGCTCTAAGAGAAAGAGAAAAGGAGAATTCAAAGTCTACTGGATATATTAAAATGTCTATAAATTTGTTCTTAATTTGCTAAGTGTGCTTCCACAAAATTATAAGATATATTCACTTTGATAATCTTATTTCATGATTAATTAATTGCCTTAATAAGCACACAAAAAGTTAATATCTTGCTATGAACATTACTTAAATTGTGGTTATTGTGCTTTAATCACAGAAATCTAGTCATTAATGAAATAATGATGAAGAGTTTAAAGATTATAAGTATGTTTCTGATAATCTTTAATTGAGACTAATTCAGCCAAAAATTGTTTCATGTTTACCAGATGCCTAGAGAATGTTTTGAAAATGTTAGTTGTGTTCGTTATGATGAAAATGTAAAATGATAGAGAGGACATAATATGGCTTGCCTTGTTATTGTCACATTTTTGGTTAATATGCATAAATTTCAGAGAGAAGGATTATAATGTTTAAAGTTGTATGTGTAAGTTTGGACAATTTATTAAAGACTTGAACTTATATATAAAGAACTATAAAGATATAAACAATAGAGAATTTTTTAAAAAAAGCATCCAATTATTCCTTTTGCCCTTCTTTCTGTTGAGTAATTACCATCTTAAAACTTTTCCCAAACCTCTTCAGGATCTTTTTAATTCCCAAGTCCCCACATCATCAATTTGTTTTTCCTTCTTTCAACAAAAAGTACTTACAGGTTTTCCAGCCTTTCAAAAAAAAAAAAAACTGTCATTTTTCTCTCTGCTGAAACTTGTCAGCTCCAGCATTTCTGCAAGTCTAGTTAATTTTATAATCTAATCTTCTAACTGTAGGCATCTCATTGCTTTTTCAACATTTTTGCATACAATAATCTTGTTCTCATTACCATATACAATAAAATTTCCCATATTTCTTTTCTAATCCCTTGTCCATAAAACTTAGTAGAAATAATTCTGGTTTTGTCATGATGTTAGTCCATATAGTTGCATCACTATATGGATTTGAACCCCTTTTTTTCTTTCTTTTTTCAGACATGCAGACTGTTGTTCTCCATATCACAAAACAACAATGTCTATGGCAAAACACAAGAGAAAAACTACCGCATCACCCGCTTGGGTTTCTTCATGTGGATTAGGTGTGACAGAGATATTACAATTTGACTCTCCTTGGGCACAAACCTCCGGGAATAACTGGATAATCCCCCAAACAATGGCACATAGTTTTTTTTCCTTATAGAAATGGGGCATTCCTGGGTAGCCATCCCAGGCTTCCAGAAATAAAATACACCCCTCCCCAGCGCAGCCCACTTTCTGTCCCACCTCAATCAAATAGTTGATTTGATTTAGGGCAGTTTGTCATTTCTTGGCCTTAATAATGAGTTTGGTTTCCCTAATGCACTGGACCACCAGCATTAAGTGTTCCAGATACTGTTCTCGGATGGTTGAAAAGATAACCACACCTTATTTATATAACACAAGAAAGTCATTAAAATCCATTTGCCAGTCTTTTAAAGTTGTGAAAACATTCTGGAGATGAAGGTAACTTGTGATGCATGACAGCAGCTGATTTCTTTTCTTTTCTTTTCTTTTTCCTACCGAGGGCCCTTTCCATTATCTTTTTGTGGAGTCCATGTAGAAATACAGTATCTGGCTGTCTTAGCTGCTCCATCATATCAGCAGTGGGATGAATAAACAGCTAGCCTGGCTCTGTTTTCCTTCTCAATAGACCATGGAGAAAACTATTCTGCCCCACTCGTCAAGCATAGCAACCAGGATGCCTGGGTAGATCCATGCACTCCTAGAGGGTCAGTTCACTCCCACTTTCTGCATCTCCTCAGTTTTCTTTTTAAATACTTGTGTAGCTATGGGGCTGCTGAGTAGTCCTTCCTTCGTGTACTCCATGTCTATAATGGAGATGACCAGATTTATTTATTTCTTAGGCATACAGGCCACTTCAGTTGTAGCTGATGCTGAGAACTCCACTTTTATAGCAGTGATTAAAACAATACATCAGAACAGTTTTAATAATTTCATCTGAATGTGACTTGAAAGTAAACTCACATATAAACTGCTTGCTAGGGGATCATCTGCACTTCAATCTCTGACCAGTCCTGCCGGACAGGCAGAGATATTGCCCGGAGCAAACAGTCTCAATGATAACCAGTTCCTAAGCCAAGATTAATATTTTCTATGAATAGCTTAGCATACTTGCACTACTGCTTGAGTATCAAGGCAAGAACCAATGACAATATTTTCTATTCCAATCCACGGCAAAATCCCCAATGGGTGTCTACTGCTGGTATTAAGCACCACTGAATACAAGGGCTTCAGGGTATTCACAAGCCAGGTTTCAGTCAGTCTGGATCCTTGGAACTCTATGTCATAATTCAGCTGTTCTACCTTTTCTTTAATGAGATAACAACACTTCAATTCTGTCAGCCCTGGAGGCCATCTTTCTCTTTGGAACTTCAGGGCTGCCATTTAGTGCATAAGCCTGCTGTGAGAAACTGGGAGAGGTGTTGCATGGAGTGAGTAGAGATAGATAGCCAAAATAACATTCTTTTCTCTGGGAGTCAAGGATATTCAGCCTGCACCTGGAGAGACGTGACTGGGACATACCTCCAGTTGGGACGGTAGATTGAGTGGACCATGTGAAGGACTTGTGGGTGCAAGGGAAAGGACTTTGACTTTCCTTTGGCTAGGGAAAACCCGGGGGGCTTTCAGATTTGGGTTTTCTCAGATGTGCCAATATGACATCTCTAATAAAATGGAACTTTGAGGAACTGCTGGCCTCAGAGTCTTATTTGGTTGGGGGTGTTACTTGGAAACCTGACACATACTGCTTGGACCTTGATAATCTGTATTGGTCTGAGGAGCAACATCTGATTTTCTGGCTCAAATGTGTTGTTATAAGGTGCTCTGTAATAGCCCTGCAAAATCCTCTAGTCTTGGAGGACTTTCCCCTCTCTATAAACAAATTAGGTCCAGATCCCATTGGAGAAGCCATAACATTTGATGGGCCTTAGGAAGCATCCCTTTTCTATTATGATGCCTGCCTTGTGGAATGGCCTTTCCCCTGGATAGGGACAACCCTGATTCTGCTAGTCTTCCAGAAGGCAGTTTTTCCTCTTGTTCTACCATCTCACCTCAATTTAAAAAAGCCCGTGGACAGGCTTTCTCCCTTTTCCCATCTTACCTTACCTCACCTCTTGGGATATCATTGCTTCAGAGTATGCACATCAGGATGAAGCATTCATTCTACAATTAGCACTAAGCATTGAAGCAGGATTATTTTCCAAAACTAGTACAATTCAGTAATTGTTTGCTCTTTGCTTTTGGAATAAAATTTGTCCTAGGCTATTTTTAGGGCTTGGAAAAGAAAATCTCCCTCCCCAGCATTAAGCAACCCCAAAGAATCCATCCACCATTCAGAGGCCAGGGAAACCACTAACATTTCACAATATGATACCAGGGAGGACCAGAAAATGCCAAACAAGGCAAGATCTTCCTCCTGTAAATCAGTGTCTAATACTCTATCAGCACTGCTTCCAAGCTCTGCCTCTAGCTTTAAAAGGTGAGAGGATTCATTCATCCGCTACAAGCATTTAGCCTTTTTCATCTCTGACAGAACCTTTGCGTGCCAGTTGCCAGTACGTTCCTGTGGGAATAGTAGTTTCATCCCCTGGGAAATAAAAGTTAATATTCCAAGCAGATGACAGATTAAACTGGCATTTGGATTTGATTTAACAGCCATGTAGTTTTGTTAAAGATGCATCAGTTGTTCAGCTGATTAGAAGCTAGCTGCACAAGTGGCCATTGGTCTTTATATATGGAGTTTTTTAATCTATAAAACTAATGTACCATTGATTTTTTTTTGAAAGCTATACATTCAATCCTTATAAAAGGACTTGTAGCTGGCAAACTCTAGGACTGAAATGAGTTTTGCCCAATGTGCTTGATGCCCAGCAGGTGCACTCTTACTGTCCCTTCTGGAAGATGTAATTGGCTCTTCAGAGATCTGGCAGATCTGATTTTCAGCTGCTCTCGGAGATAATCCCTAAATCAACTACCAGGATCTCAAGCAACTCCAGAAGAAGGAGAGAGTGAGGAGAGGGATGAGGCAAATAGCAGAGTGAAAATGGCAGGATGTATCTGAAGAAGCCTTAAGATCAGGTATTTCAACTGCTGGACCTGTCGGCACATCCAATGGCAAAGAATTCTTTCCTGGATATAATCAAGACTGGAAGAATTCATTCTAACCTGGAGATCAAAGGCAGAGCTTAGTAGGAAAGTGTCGTGCAGAGCTCCAGATTTAAGGTACATTTAGATTCTTGCTTTTATCATTAAGAAAATATTGGATGATTATTAATACATGGAGTTTCTGTGAAAGTATATATGGATTTTGGCTACTGTGTGATTGAATTCTTTTTTAAGCCTTATTATTTGGGGAATATTTGGCTTGTTAAATGAATTCTTCATTGAAGGAAGATATTTCACAAGCTTGCTAACATGTATTACTCCAGAATTCAGTTTGGCACAGAATTTGACAGATAGGACTAAAAGTAAATCACAAGTGTGAAAATTGCTAAATACATATTAATTGCTGGATCCCGTTCAGACCAGAAGAATAAGCAATATTAGCTATATTAACTATAAAGTAAATCGGGTTTAATACCTTGGCAGTGAATAGCAGAATTTTTCCTTGGTACTAAACTATGTTTAACCTAAAGAAGAAAATGCTGGGGATGACATGATAGCTATCTTCCAATTCTTGAAGGGCTGTCACAGGGCTGTCAATTTATTTTTCAAAGCACCTAAAACCAGGACAAGAAGTAATGGGTGGAAGCTCATCAGAGAGAGATCCAGCCTAGAACTAAGGAGAAATTTCCTGACAGTGAGAAAAAATAATCAATGAAACAGCTCAGTCTCTGGAGTTATGAGTGTTCCATCGCTGGAGTTTTTCAAGAAGAGACTAGGCAACCATTTGTCCGGGATGGAATAAGAACTCCTGCCTTGGGCAGGGGGTTATGCTAGAAGACCTCCAAGGTCCTTTTGAGCCTATAATTCTATGATTCGTAGGTGATTTTTCAATCCAGCTGTGGTACCAAATCTTACACTGTTTGGGAACACAGTTCTAAAGTGTAAGTCATAATAATGCTCTAATCTTTTTATTTAAGAGAGGAGTAACAGGTTTTACCTTTTCCTCTATAATGGATAGTTTGTATCAAAGTCAGCTTTCAATTGCAGTTGCCTGTTGGACTCAATTACCTGCAGAATCTGCAGTTTGTTGACTAGACACAGGATAGGAATGCGTGAGGAATACAATGCTAGTCCTTTTCTTGGTTATAGTCGAGATTTGTTTCCATTCTGCTGACTAACCACCTGAATGTAGCACTGCATGTGTATTTGAAACAAGAGTGATAGCATTGGCACCTGCTTTCTTGCCCACTTGTAAAATTCCATTCTAGTCCTTCTATACATGCCTTATTGTTGGTTGCTAGTTCTTGAGATATATAATAGCAATTTCTAAATATTTAAAATGTCTAATTATCAACCAAAACTGGGCACGTTAAGAAGACCACCTTGTCTTCCTCATATCCACTGTTCAGCAGGAATGCCTTTCCATTCCTCCCCTCCCTTTGCAGAGTTTTCCAGAGTTGTGTCCATCCAACATCAATGCAAACCATATGCTCTTCAGGAGAGAGACTTGTGGTTTTGTTATTCATTTGTCCTTAATGTTACACTACGGTAATAGTAATGGTCCAATCTTTAATCCCCCAAAATCATAGGTATACCTCAGAAGTGCTAATTTAAATAAAACATTTTATTTTAAAGTTAATGTGGCAAAATTATTCTTGGTACGATATTATCAGCAAATTTAGGAATATAATAAGGTGTAAGGGTAATGTGGAACCATTTTTTTTTTGTTCTTGATAAAGGGACTTTGAATATAACATGTAATGTTTAATTAGTAATCTGCATTCAAATTTTTAATGCAAATAGTCTCTTTGCTGTAACACACAGGTGGATCATAGATTCATGGCCATAAACTAAAATTATATTATTTTCCATGCATTGCAAAATCATAATGGAAGCATAGTTAAACCAGATTTTTTTTTACTTTATTCCATTATTGTATATTATTTGAATCATTTATTTTCTCTTTTCCTGTTTAGATAAATGTGATTCAGTAACCTTTTATTTCTTTGTTATCAGTTTCAATATGACTGGAATGTACTCAAGGCAAAATGCTTCTTCCCAAGATATTAATCTTCCTCACCACCAGCCAGATGGAGACCCTTTTGCATCAAAACTTGCAAAGGAAGCTGACATAATAGCTGGAATTTATTTATTAATAATAGGTAAGATTGTTCTGTTTTAGCTATTGTTCTGGTAGGAGTTGTTGAAATGTATGTAGATCTGTTTTGTGATAAGACTCTGCTACTGTTGATTTAATTTTGAATTTTATACAGTAATAGTTAGATTGTTAGATTCCTTGTATACCATAACCCATAAAGCAGTACTATTTGAATTGTACTCAGTCATCAGGGAGGATAGAATTGCCTTTTAAAAGAGTTCTGTGATGTGTCATGTTCGATTATTTCATCCTCTCAGAAACTATTGGCCAAAATTAGAAATCTTGCTACCAATTGCTTGGGGCTGAGGCAGATATGTCAAGGGGGAGGGAGGGAGGGAGGGAGAGAGAAGAGAGAAGAGAGAGAGAGATCAAAATCTAGGGATGTTTTTTAGGGAGAGGATGAATGTTAATCAAATTTGGCTCATTAGCTAGCATTTTTCCAGCCATAGATTCTTCTAGGAGCAAAGTTATCAGAGGAACTGGTGGAATAATTTTTCTACATTCTTACTCATCTCTCTTTTAGTCAAAATAGAAGAAAATTTGGCCAGCCATAGCTCTTTTTTTCATCCTGCTGATGTGATAAGGCTTTTCCTTTCTGTGCAACCCATAGAGTAAGAATTTCTCAAAAAAGCAGAACATTGAAACAAATTGAAAGAAAGATTGTGCTTTTGGAGAAATTATGTTTGCTGGATTCCAATGAGCTATTCCCACCAACTAGTCCCAATTAATTTCAGCAGCCAAACTAGAGGCTCCAAAAAGGAGAAATGCAGAATGTCTAGGTATTGTATTGTATAGGACCTATACTATAAGTAGTTATGACCACAATTGAGATCAAAATTTCTGTTGCTAAGCAAAGCAATTGTTAAGTGGGTTGTGCAGTCATTAAGTGAATCTGGATCCCACCACTGTCTTTGCTTATTGGAGGTCAGCTGGGAAGGTTACAGATGGTGATCATAAGACCCTGGGACAATGCAACTATCATAAAAACATGCCAGTTGCCATGTGCCCAAATTTTGATCACGATGGGGATGCTGCCACAGTCATAAATGTGAAAAATGGTCATAAGTCACTTTTTAAAATGCTGTTGAAGCTTCTAATGGTCACTAAATGAATTGTTGTAAGTCAAGTATTATCTGTACTTCAACATGAAAGGAACCTCTCCATTGCCACCTGAACAGGGGTTCCATGGACATTTCTCATGGAAAAAAGAAAATTTGCTCCACATGCAATGTGATTTCTAACTAATGCGCATCATGCATAAATAGACACACATGTATACACATATTATATAGAAGCCTATACAAAGAGGAAAAAATACTATATCTTTGGGAGGACTATTGTAAAATATTGATTTTTGTTTTTTACTCAAGATGCATCAGGAACTGTGATAGTGTATGTCATAACTTGCCAAGATTGGATTACTGTAATGCATTCTACATGGGGCTGTCCCTGAAGATTCTTTGGAATAGTATATAGCTGTTCACAATCCTGTGGCATGAGTAGCAATAGGTCTGTTGCACTGTTTCATGAGCTGTGCTGTTTACCAGTCAGCTTCTAGGAACTATTCTAATTCTATAAAGGCTTTCATGGCATGGGGATGCTTTCCAAGTCTCATCAATGAAAGAGGCTCATCTTGCAAGACCCAGGAAGTGTATCTCATCAGCCCTGTAGAATGGCATCAAATAACTCCCATCATTCAGAACATCATTTAAAAAAAGGTTGGAATTGAATGGTTGTGAGGTCCTCACAGTTCCTTTGTTTTTTTCTGTTGTGTGTTGTTTTCCAATTGGTTGGGGGGGGGGGGGGTTCCTCTTTCAATTGTAAGCAGCCTAGAGTCATTAAGAAGTCAGGCATCCTTGAAATTGAATTAAGTAAGTTTTTATAATTTTTACAGATCTACAGTTCTCTCCTCTAGCTTATTCTAGCACAGTAAAACAAATTCTTGGGGGATCATGAGCTCAAAGGCATTTTGCTTCTTTGGTAAAGATTCCCTGTAATTGTCACACATCTTTCCTTAGTTCAGAAATTTGTTCCCCTCCATAGAGCTGTTCCCCTTCTATTGCCTGAATTTTTTGAACTACTTGCCTATGTATTTCATCATGGAAATAGATAGTCAAGAGTGAGAATAATGTTTGACTCTAACTGTATTCCGCTTCTGGAGGAAAGGAGAGATACAAAAATTATAAATAAAATATAAGAAAGAACATGTGAATATGTTTATGCCAGCAGCTGCATCCTGGGGTAGTCTACTTTACAAATGAGAGAGAATTTGAAAAAGAGGACCAATGGAGATTTTTTAAAAAGCAAGTTCATCTTTAATAATGTAATTGTTAGGGCTTTGTTGTGTTTTGGATGCAATTCCAAAAAGATGATGCCTGTTATATTTTTAAATAAAGGTTCCATCGAAAACTTTTTAGAAGACTTTAGAAGGGTTTCTTTCTTTAGAAGGGGAAGGTCACAAGAAAATGTGACCTGACAAATTATTGTCATTGTACATTTACCTTTATTCAAAAATGTGATTCCCCCACCCACCCTAGAATACTGAGGAGAGGGATGTGTGTGAGAGAGAGAGAGGGAGGGAGAGGGAGAGGGAGAGGGAGAGAGAAAGAGAGATATGCATCATTTATTCTGTGTGAGGGAGAGAAAGGAAATGAATGTATAGAGGAGGTATGCATGAAAGACAGTGATAGAATATTGTAGTCCCAAAACTTTGGTTACAAAGAAATGTAGCTTTTCAGAAGGAGAAAAAGGTTCCTGGGTTTGCTGTAGAGCAGCACTGTCAAACTCCCAGCCTGCAGGCCGGATGCATCACACGCTGGCCATGCCCACACCCAGTTTAGCGAAGGGGGGAAAAGTCCCAATACGTCACATGATGCCGCCGTCACATGAGTTTGATACCCCTGCTGTAGAGCATTCTTGTTCTCCAGATCTTTTAATCCTGTTTATCTCTTTTAAGATCTTCATGTTTTAAACTAAACATTCATTTCTGGCAAGATGTCTTCTCTCTCTACTCTGATAGCACTCTTGTTGTCAAATTTTACTTTACTGTAGGGATCCTATCCACTTTAGGCAACGGATATGTTATCTATATGTCTATACAACGGAAAAGGAAGCTCAAGCCAGCAGAGATCATGACGGTAAATCTAGCAGTCTGTGACTTGGGGATTTCAGGTAATTCCACTTTAGCTCAGCTGAAAATGAAATTTTTGGGTACTGTAAGCGACTTAGGCCTATAGTAATTATAAATAAAATATCACCATCATTTTTTAAAATTTCTGATGATTAATGCCAATCAGCATGGAAAATAATAATTGAAACAATGCATATTTTAAATAATAATCTGGAGTTTAGTAAAGGCAGTATTGCAGTTGAATGCATTATATATCAATCAGTTTTCATCAATCTGGTGTCCTCCAATGTAATGGATATACTCAAGGCTTAGCTGGGAATTTTAGAAATTATGGATTAACACAGCTGGCACCAGAATAGGGAATGCTGTTACAGAATATAACAACATGTGAATGATCGTTTTAAAAAATCTAAATAATACTATACAATAAAATTTATCTTTATTCTTTCTTCAGATGTATTGATCATTTAGTCAATTGAACCTTACATTTAATAAATTAATGATGAATTAAATGTGATGAATTAAAAAAATTGGAATGCTCTGCTAATTTGATAATAAAGACTCCATAAAATAAAGTGAGAAAAATAGTTAATTATAGCAATTATTTTCTAAACACAATTATTTGCAGCTAGTAACAAATTTATTCATGTAGTCATGAATGACTCTTTTATATAGTCAAAGAAAAATCTTAGCTTTCTTTAATTTCAATAAAAGTGATTAAATATATAGTCCCTCCATTTTGTATATTAAATGATATATGAGGAATTAGCTTGAAAGTTATGAAGCATGCAAAGTCTTTGCATAGATGTGTTGAAATGTTGCTGATATCATTAATACTACAAGAAAAGAAACATTTAAGGGAAAACAGACTTATGCAAGGATATGTTCAGTGTTTAGCAGAAGCACTTCTACTGATGGAATCAGATTTTCCATTGTTGTTCTCCCTCATAACACTCCAGTTGTTTGCTCTGGAAATCCCTGCTTTCAGGAGCAAGTTTGAGGGTATATGTATGATAAGAGCACCCTTGAGTGGAAATAATATCATTTTTGCTCACTATTGCTTATCTCAGTCTGATCTGATCCATTCCAATCCAGTGACTTTTCAAATGTTGAATTCAAATCTATATAGCATGTTGTTGTTGTTTTACTTCTGTTGTGTGATACATTCTAAAACAGCTCTGTTGGATATATAAACATCAGATATATCTCAGAAGAAACAATACTTTGGTAGCATTGTTGGTATCATAGATCGTTTATGACCTGCAAAACATTGGCTGAGGCAAATCTGCCATTCCACTGTCATGTCATAGTATTCATTACTTTCTAAGACAGCCTTCACTTTAATTTGTATATGTGAAGGTCAAAAGTAATGTTTTCCCACCTTTCAGTTATGAATGGAGTTAGTTGGAAGAAGCTGAAAAAGGTACAACAGTTCATGTAATAAAAACATCTCGATCTCAGCAATTTCTCTCAACTTTGAAAGCTGAAATTTACCACTGATCAGGAAAAGGCTTTTTAACCACTTCTTCATTGTGGTCAATCCTATTGAAGAAATCATCAACTTACATGCAGAAAATCTGGAAATTGACATGTTTTGTAGACATGTTATGGCTGTTAAATTGGATTTTGAGAAATATCTGCAATATTTTCCAGCATGAAGTTTTATAACCTTCCTTGAACTCTGACTAAATAAGGAAGCCATTACCAGTATCTTATAAAATTTGTTATCTCTCTTCAGTTTGATCTTTCCTTCCTCCCTCCCTCCCTCCCTCCCTTCCTCTCCCCTTTCCCCTCCCCTCCCTCTGCCCTGCCCTGCCCTGCCCTGCCCTCCTTTCCTTTCCTTTCCTTTCTTAATTTTTATATTGTTTGAAGGGGATTACATACATTTTTCTTTACTCTTTCAGACCTTTACCTGCCTCTATTTTTTTTTTCTTTTACAGTGGCAGGAAAGCCATTTAGCATCATTGCCTTCTTCTCCCACCGTTGGATCTTTGGTTGGAGTGGCTGCCGCTGGTATGGATGGACTGGCTTCTTCTTTGGAGTTGGAAGTCTTATTACCATGACTGCAGTCAGCCTGGACCGGTATTTCAAAATATGCTATTTAACTTATGGTAAGTTGAAACTTATATACAACTTTTCCCTAAATGTGTTGAAGTTTGCACTCCAGGGTTCCCAGTCAGCTCTGTGAGACAATGTCTGAAATATATCCATTCTTGAGTGATTTATCAGGCCTTAATTACTACTTTTTCATTTAGATTGCAAATACAAATTGTCCATCTTTGAATTCCTTGACATTCTTTGACTCACTACTTCTCTTCTGTTCTATGCGTCTGCATATATATGCATGTGCAGACATAATTACAGCTGTGGGTATCCATAGTATGGTAGTCCTTGAGATGTGACTATAATGGGGCTGACCTATTATGGTCATAGGTCATGACAGCCATTAAGTGAAGCATCTCACCTAATGACCCCATCCCTGCTCTTCCCAATGAATCATTAAACAAACATGCAGGTTGAGAGGCCTCTCTCAACTCATGAGGCATCTTGTGCTCTGCTTCCCACTCCTTGGGTCCCCTCAGACCTTTTCCCACTCTCTACCAGGTCCCTTCTGGCCTTAGGGCTGATTCCCACCTACCAAGCTTCATACATTCCTCCTCACTTAGTTTTTGAAGAGCTCTGGAGCCTTCCAGAGCATTGGAATGGGTGGCTTTGTTGCTCAATAGCATAGTGTAATTCTGGAACTATGCCATACGAGTGAGGGACACACTGCTCCATTTTGCTACCTAATGCAATCTGGATAGAAGGCTAATGTGGTCTGTATAGGCATCTGGAAAACTCTGTGGTTTTGGAATGTGTAAAGATGGTACACATGGCATCTACCCCTGACAAGAATAGTGAGAATGTTCAATAACAAATCTGAGAAGTGTTGGAAATGTCATCAGATATCGGGCTCATATTACCATATGTGGTGGACATGTGTAGAAGCTAAAAGATACTGGTCTAAACTCCACACATGGTTGGAAAAAATGACAAAAAAACATCTAGACTTTAAGCCAGAGATTTTTTTATTAAGGATTGTGCCAGAAATATACAATAAAGAATTGAGATATTTGATTGTGAATGTTTTAACGGCTGCTGGAATTGCGTTTGCTAAAAACTGGAAAAATGAGAAAATATCAACTCAAGATGAAGTTATTAAGAAAATCATGGAATGTGCTGAAATGAGTAAATTGACATTTGAAATTAGAGAACAAGAAGATAAACAATACTACAAGATATGGGATTTATTTTATCAATGGCTAGATAATAAAACATGGAAATGAAATATGAAATATGAAATGAATATAATATTTGAAAATAAAATTTTTGAAGCGACAAAGCCATTGTTAAATAAATGATAAATGAGGGTGTTGATTTGTTTGACAATATGAGAAATTAGATAATTAGTAAATTTTGAATATGGGGATGAAGCATAAAAGATTTGTAACCATCTGACACACTGTTTACATTTGTAATGGATGATGGATTTGTTTTATGTTTTGTTTAAAAAATTAAAAAAAAATTAAAAAAAAGATGGTACACATGGAGTACCATCTAGGAGTAGCTTACCACCTAGACCTGGATAAAATGTTGAAAAACAACACATGTCATATACCTCCTGTGTTGCTCTTCAAAATCTGCTCTAAACAACCTCAGCTACATGCAAAGTTGGGGGGGGGGATTTTCAGACTTGCACCAATGTGGCATAGCATATTAGTATTATGCCGCATTGTACTAATGTGGCACAACCCTGATCTTTCAGTCAAAACACGCCTTTCCCAAAACCTTTCCTAGGAAGCATTAGTGTGTGTGTAGTTTTACAAAAAACATAACTGGATGCATTCATGTGTGTGGTTGATTGTAAGGGCAAACAACTACAGGGGCACTGCAGCATCTGTGGGACTGGGTCATAAGTAGATTTTGAAGGTCTGTCATAACTTCAAACTGCCATTAAGTGAGCGGTCATAAGTCGAGGATACCTGTATGTCCAGACTTAATCAATTACAGCTTCAATTTTCTCTCCTAGGAATCTGGTTGAAGAGACACCATGCTTTTATTTGCCTAGGGATTATCTGGTCATATGCTGCTTTCTGGGCCACGATTCCCTTTGCTGGCTTGGGGAACTATGCTCCTGAGCCCTTCGGCACATCCTGCACTTTGGACTGGTGGCTGGCTCAAGGTTCAGTGGCAGGGCAGGCATTCATTCTCAACATCCTTTTCTTCTGCCTTGTATTCCCAACTGCTGTGATCGTGTTTTGCTATATTAAAATAATAGCAAAGGTCAAGTCATCCAGCAAGGATGTAGCTCATTATGACAGCAGGATTCAGGATAGCCATGAAATAGAAATAAAACTAACTAAGGTAGGTGCATACAATCCCTAAGTTTTATTTTATTTGTTTAAGAATGGGCTGAATAGAGGGGACGACTCAACAGAAAACCGTGCATGAGAAAGAAAGGGATATTTGGGCAACCAGTGGGAAAATAAATTGATCTTGACAAATCTACCCTCTTATCCCCGTCTACTACCAGCCTTTCACTTCAGGTCTTTGTGCCTTTTCACCTAGAATCTGGCTTAAAAATAGATTTTGGAACAAACATTAGTCAGAGATGTTTTTTTTCTAGCAGAGTTTTTCTCTGGCAGAGTTTTTCTTTGGGGAAAAACAAGTCAATTCCTTCTTAGTGTTTTAAACCATGAAGTTGATTGCATGACATTCAATTAGCCTGAGAGTCTCCCCAGCCTCAATGCACCATCACCAGCTGCTGGTCATAGAAAACTAAACCTCCTTCAAGCTGATTTGCAGTGGTGTAAATACATCATATTTACAGCACAATGTAGTGTCACACAATAGCGTATAGTATATAATGATGAGATAGGAGATGAAGTGTGAAATGGGACATGTGCCTTCGTTTGAAATTACGTTAAAAAATGTTTGATAACTATATATATGGCTTTGACACATGAATGCAGGCTTTTTTAAAAATTAATTTTTATTAAAGAGATTTTTTTACAGAATAAAATCAAAACAATTTTTTAAAGAAAGGAAAGTAAAACAAAATTTAAAAAAGTGATAAGTAAATAAGAAGAAAAGAGAAAAGAAAATGAAATGACATGAAATATATAGGACTAGCTCCCAACTGTCCTTACAGCAGTTATAAATATATATTTCATTTTCTCAAGAATGCTGTTGAAGAAGAATTGCACACAGCTCTATAAATACACATTGGAGCACAACTACCAAACAAAAATCACAAATTCCCTGCCTGCAACTCTATTTCCCTCCAGTCAGCTCAGACAGAGTTGGGCTTCCTCCCCCGCTGAATTCAAAAACTAAACTCTAGCAGGCCTCAATGCTCCTGGAAAAGGTCCTTTCTTGCTTCCCTTCCCTTGTTTGGCCTCAGGAGCTGCACCCACCTGCTTCCTGCTCAGAGGCTGCCTCTGTCACTCCATCTTCCCAAGGATCCCAAAAGAACCCAGAATCCAAGGAAGGGAGAAGATGGTAAAAGCAGTAGCTGGGAAGGAGGAGATAGAAGACGTGGACGACAGAGGTAGCAGGGAGATTCTTATCCAACCTCAACATGAGTAACAGAGAAAGTGGAGAAATAAGCAGGGGTGAAATCTAATTTTTTTTGCTACCGGTTCTGTGGGCGTGGCTTAATTAGTGGGCATGGCTTGGTGGTAAGGTGACTGGGTAGGTGTGGCCAAGTCAATGTCACTTCTTTGCCCTTTTTTAACCTACAAAACACAACACAACACAACTGGCTCACCCACAATGTAAAAGCAGCTGTGCTAGACTCAAAATGGCCCCACAACAAGCAGGAACCTCACACAGCCACAAAAAGCCCAAAAAAACAACTTTCACACTTTACATACACACAACACAACACAACACAACTGGCTCATCCACAATGTAAAAGCAGCTGTGCTAGACCCAAAATGGCCCCTGCAACAAGCAGGAACCTCACACAGCCACAAAAAGCCCAAAAAACCAACTTTCACACTTTACACACACAAAATTCCACATACAGCTTTGTGAGATTTTGTGCATTTGTGTAGTTAGAGTGAAATACTACAGAAAGACACTAAATCTCAGAAAGCTGCACAAATATTATTTTATTTTATTTTATTTTTATTTTTATATAAAAGCAGCTAAATTTAAAACTTCCTAAACTTTAAATGGCTAGGTCTAAAAAAAGAACAACTAAAAGAAACCCCAATTAACTATTTTTTTTAAAGCTCCCAAAGGGGAAAAAAACTTACCCAATAGAACAGGGGTCTCCAACCTTGGCAACTTTAAGACTTGTGGACTTCAACTCCCAGAATTCCTCAGCCAGCTTTGCTGGGAGTTGAAGTCCACAAGTCTAGGCAGGAAGGCAGGCAGGCAGAAAGAGCTGCTCACCGATGAGCTTGATTGCAGGCAGGGAAATCCAGTTGCTTGCTGATGCATGGATTGCAATCGTCATGCGATCAGCAGCTAAGGTACCATATTTTTGACCATATTTTTAAAATTGTTTTAATTTTAAATTGCTAAATTATGGGTTTTTAATATGGGGGTGTTTTAACTGTTGGCCAAATTAATTTAATTGGTTTTTAATATTGTTTTAATTTTTGTATTTTCTGTATTTTATCTGCTGGCTGTTCACTGCCCCAAGTCCTTTGGGAGAAGGGCGGTATACTAACTAACTAACTAACTAATTTGAGTAAAAATTTGAGTAAAAATTACGTTTATTATTCAACTGGAGCATTTAAAATTGGCAATTTTTCATTCCACACTAAGCTTTAGTGGGTTGATTTACTAAGAAGTCAACTAACCAGATCCCATGCTTTAGATATAGCTCCATTTGAACTTACCAGCTCCTTCAAACACTAATTCAATAGGAATCTTACAGCTCTTTAGTGTAAACAGAAGCAAATATTTCAGGACAAAGTACATTTGCTCCCCCACAAAAGAACCCCAATATCCAGTCAGATAGAGAATCCTAATTATCTTCAAGTGAATGCAGTCTTACCCAGCTAAAATTTATTATTTTTCTTATTCTTCCTCATTTTATTTTAGAAAAGAAAATATTTAAAATGAATTGCTACCACTAATTACAACCTGATCTATTGAATGATACTCTTCATTATATTGTATCTGTTGATATATTTTTTTGTATAATGGCCAGGCTCCCAGAAATGGCAAGCATAATTTCTTAATATACTTCTACCCAAAACTTCAGATAGACCACATAAACTAAGCACAGGTAAAATGATTTATGTGGTTCTTTCTCATTCAGGACAAATGTGTTAGGAAAAACAATGAGTCCTTTGTTATATCCACAGGTTTCATCCCTTTCCAGAACAACAGAGACCATAAAGACCTCTTGCAACTTTAATCTCATTTGAAGTGGTTTCACTCTCATTGCATTGATTTAATTTATTTCTCTGCCTTCTTTCATTCATAATCTTTTTAGGCTGAAGCCATATGTGTTCTTAGGAATAACTCCTGCTGTATCAAATAGGATTTATCTCAGAGGGAATATATCCTAGTGTGTACTCTTGTTTTCCAATGATTGCCCTGGTTTTAAGAGGCCATATGCACCTCTTTGATATACCAAATGGAAATAGATTTTCACAAATAGGTTTTCGCTTTGTCATAAATTCTATGGTAATTTGCTCTGCTAATTGAGAGCAGTCTCCAATAATACAATGCCTTCTATATGATAAGTGAATTATTTTTTGTTATATGGACATGGTTTGCTTGAGCAGGGGTTGGATTAGAAGACCTCCAATGTCCCTTCCAACTCTGTTATTTCTCTTATTCTGGTTGTCTTGTCCTCTGTTATGCATTTCTTCTCACTAGGTGGCGATGTTGATCTGTGCAGGATTTTTATTTGCTTGGATCCCATATGCAGTTGTATCAGTATGGTCAGCTTTTGGAAAACCAGATTCTGTTCCCATAAAAGTTTCGGTGGTGCCTACTTTGCTTGCTAAATCGGCAGCCATGTACAACCCTGTTATTTACCAGGTCATCAACTGCAAATCAGCCTGTTGTCATCCGGAGGCTCTTAGGCCACTGCGGAAGAAAAACTCCTTGAAGAAATCCAGGTAGGGATTTCCAAAAGTGGCCTGAAATATTTGAAAGACACTAGAGATGCGCAATGGACACGTGCAGGAGTGTGAGGCAAAGAGAAAAAAAGGAGTCCATCCCCAAGAGACAAACAAGAAACTCTTATCCTTCTTCCTTTCTTCATTATAAGGGGGTTTCTGTCCTGGAGGTTGATTGTGAAAAATGCCCAAGGAGACAAGACGTAAGAAGGAAAGTGGCTACGGAGAAATCCCTCTGAGCTTGTTTCCTTTAAAAGTCTTTCTCTCGCTGAACATTCTCGCTCATCTTCACTCTGTGGTGGAGAGATTTCAGCAAGAACTTTTGGGGTAAGATGTAGGCCAGTACAGTAACCTGTGATGAATGGCCTCAGGGCCTGATCCTAAAGTGGGTCTTTGAAGAATGAGGAGCCCTCAAGTAACAGGAATGGACAGGACATTCAAGATTTGTCCTTTAAGATTAGGTATATGTATCTGTTGTCAAGCATCTCCAGAAAAATTCCATATAAAAATTTCTTTCTTTCTTTCTTTCTTTCTTTCTTTCTTTCTTTCTTTCTTTCTTTCTTTCTTTCTTTCTTTCTTTCTTTCTTTCTTTCTTTCTTTCTTTCTTTCTTTCTTTCTTTCTTTCTTTCTTTCTTTCTTTCTTTTCTTCCTTTCCTTTCCTTTCCTTTCCTTTCCTTTTCCTTGCAGGCTCTATATAGTCTCTACAGAAAAGTCTGAAGTAATGACTGAAACTCAACTGGATGTTGCCTGAGAGCTGGGAATCCACACCTCTCCAGCCAACCAGCAGGTTTCCTTCTCAGCTGCTTCTGCTCCAAACCATTTTAAAAGTACGCCAGCTCCATCTTAGGGAATTATCTTCCTGGCTTGTATTTTCTCACAGGGTCTTAATATTAGTTCTCAGTATTCCAATCAAAGATATATATTTTAAAAGTAATCATTTTGTTTGTATTTTAATTAGGTAAAAATTCTCCCTGCATCATTCTTATTGTATATATTTTAAAGCGATTACAATGAATACAAATAAATAGGTGTATAGTACATAGTAATAGTATAGTAAACAATATAGCAAATTGGTGCTTAGATTCCATATACTTTACCCTGTTGATCCTTTGTCTTTCCTCTCAATGAAATGCTGCCAGCCTGTCAGCAACAGTCACATGACACAGGGAAGCAACGGACACCTTTGGCCAAGAGCTGCAGAGCGAAGAGAGAGGCCATTCCATACTTTCTGCTTGGCCCTCCACTGGAATGGACCACTTACTGCTTCCCCAGGGCAGGAGTGGAGGACATCCTCCATGTGGCCTGGTCCCATATTCTCCAGCTTCAATTCAAAACTGTTGTTTTCAACGAGAGCATTTTTCAGCTCTTCAGAGCATAATGATCTCGAGCGCTTTCTTCCATTCTAGCTGTAGTCCCAGTTCTGCTTGGCTGCAATGCCTGGCATGTGCCCTCCCCTCCAGCAGCTGATCACATTCTGTCCTAGGCTGCCACTTTCTCAGCATTTTTAATAAATGTTATTTCTATTAATCCATTAAGGGCCCCTTAAGTCAATGAGCTCTCCCTAAGCCTAGAAGCCTACAATCCTTATATCTCCTGGTAAGCACTTTTTAGTTTTTGCCAGGCTGGGTGACTCATGCTTCCCTTGTTTTCCCATCGCCTGCCCACAGTTTTCCTTCCCTTTATGTTTTTAACTTCTTTAATTTACAATAAAGAAAATGTTGTTGTATTTTGTTTCCATGAAACTGAACTATCAGTTCTTCCTTGCTAATCAAGTTTCTGTAGGCCTATGTAGATCAATCCACCCACCCCAATCTATTCCCTATTGTTTTTAATTGTAGTTTCAGTGCTATGATAGTACTTTAAGGGGGAAAAATTATATAGAAAAGTGCTGTGTTAGTGTCAGATAAGATAATGGGGTACGCACCCATGACAGACCGTTCCATACTGGAGCAGAGCCTTCCCTTCCTTGTGTGGATGAAAGGGGAAGAAGCAGGGGAATGCCTGGTTGTGCAGGGCTTGATCTGGGTCAAGCATCATTCCAGCTCTGGCAAATCTAATTTTTGTACTTGCCTGAAGAAACAATCACCAACAGCATGAGGGACAAGCAGCTAAGGCTACAGTGCAAAATTGCCCAGAGCTAATGGCTTTTAGCTACCGTCATACGAGAATCTACGCAAATATTAGGCAGGGGTAAAATCCAGCAGGTTCTGACAGGTTCTGGAAAACTGGTAGCAGAAATTTTGAACAGTTTGGAGAACCAGAAAATACTACCTCTGGCTGGCCCCAGAGTGGGGAGGGAATGGAGATTTTGAATATCCTTCCCCTGTGGGGGGTAGTAATGGAGATTTTGCAGTATCCTTCCCCTGGAGTGGGGTGGGAATGGAGTTTTTACAGTATCCTTCCCCTGCTTCGCCCACCAAACCATGCCCACCAAGCCACACCATGCTCACCAAGCCACGCCCACAGAACCGGTAGTAAAAAAAATTGGATTTCACCACTGATATTAGGTCTAATGTATATTATCAGGCCATGTTGGGAAAGGAAGTGGTTCAATTGCTCAACAGAAAAGTGAAAATCTTGGTTTCAAATCTTTACGTACTTTTTTCATTTATTTAAATATGTTTAATAAAAACAAAAGACCTGGCCAGAACAATTTTGTAAAATAGTTTCACACATGCTGTCATATCAATTGTCAATATATTCCTCCTAACATAATTATACTGTGTATGTCTCCCTTGCTCTAATTTGGTTTGTGACTTGTGAGTAGTTGGACATTGGCCAAGATGGGCATCCTCCTCTAATGCTGTTAGACTGCACTTATCTTTCCTTTGCCTGGGGGAAACAAGGAAATGCACAAGGAATCACCATGTATTTAACAAAAGCTCAGTTACACTTAAATTTAGATTAATTCACCTGGTGAAGGGAAGTGGCAGTGCAGGCAGGAAATGACTGGTGGAAGAAGCTAACAAAACCTGAACAAGTTTAGGAAAAGATGCAGCTGCTTTAATGATTTATGAAAAGAAGCATCATATAGGTACTGAAGCATCCCTTTTGAAGACTTTGCACATTTGCATCAACCTAATATTAGTATTCACACAACTCCTGCATATTACTTTTAGCATTTGCTGGACTCCTTCAAAATCTAGATTGCTTCAGATGTGGTGCCTGGATATTTGGGGAGCTTCTGAATATGGTTTTTCTTAACATTGTGGTTGTGGGGATTAGGTTGGAATGTCCTTGGGTGCCTTTATGCTATGATTGTGCTGCCGTTGTTATTATTTACTTACTGTACACTTACTAAATGTAATAACTTACTGTTACTGATTGATTTTGTTCTTTGTTGGCTTTACTCCAATATCCATTACTCAGATTTGCAACAGTGAGATAGGTAGCTGTATAAATCAAAATAATAAATAATAAATGCTGAGTTAATAAAACATGGAGGGGAGAAAACCTTGATACAAACTATGGACAATTTACATCAAGGTTTAGTTTTGGTTTGCTGTGGGTTTTTGTTTGTTCCTCTTGTTATTTTGTTTATTAAACATGTTTGAGGGAGAGAGAAGAGAACTGTAAACTAATCTGTTGCAGCCAGAATAATTTCAAAATAATTTAAAAAATGAAGCAACAGAGGATCTCTAATGGAAACTATTTTTTTTCAAAATAAGATAAATATAGAATACGACTTTAAAAAGTAATGAGGATTTGGAAGCATACCTTGTGCAAAAAAATTAATCTGTGTTAAGTGCAGATAGCATGAATGTATTGCTAAGATATGCTCAATATTTAATTATATTAGTGAAGTGTCACCTTTATAGTAATATGGCTGTAGTGAACAGTTTTGCTCATTTACAGGTCAAGAAAGAACAGAACAACAATACCATCCTAAGAATATTACAACATACTATTGTAAGAGAAGAGAATACTATCTGCAGGAAAAAGTCTATTTATCACTGTCCTTTGTGCTCTAGCCAGGGGAGAAGATTATAATTTTATTCCTTCATACCTTTTTTCCCCCCTCTTTCTCCCCCACGCCATATTTTGAATTCATGTTTGAGGACCAAACATGGGATCTGGTAGATCTAAAGATTGCCTGGGTTGGCTACAGCTCATCCATTTTGAGTCCTTCATTTCCAAGTTGAAGGGCAATCTCACTGGCAGAGTTTTCTGCCACTGGGCAACTAATGATTTCTAGAACAGCCCCCTCCCCTCACCCACCCACCCCCCAGAGGAATGTCTCTTGCATCCTGTAATTCCAGGACAATAGGATTGCACAGGTTAGTGAATGCGGGTTTAAACAGCAATCTTTGCACAAGTGTCTTCTGTGGTAGAATGGTCCAAGTCGTACTTTTCCATTTCCTGCCCCTCTTAAATAAAAATATGCAATTTCAAAAAATATAAAGCAGATTTTAGATTCAGTTAGATAATATATCTGACTTGACAGTAATGAATTCCAGTGAATTCCAGTGAATTCATCTCATCACTGCATTGAATAAGAGGGTTATTTTCCTTTCTTCTTGGCTTTTTCCCCATCTTAAACACAGAGGTACTTCTGCAGCTTCACTGATAGGTTTTTGGTTTTTTCGTCTCCACTGTATTGTTTCTGTGTAATTTTAAATAAAAGAGATGCCATATCCCTGTCAATATCTTCATGTATTTTATTTCTTATGAAGACTTAGTCCTCTATTGAGTTTTCAGTATGCTACTGCAGCTGGAGGCACAATCTCAGTGGATTAGCAGGATGCCAGCCAATGGGTCTTTTCTTTTTCCACCTGCCTGGGACTCCTGCTGAAAGTGAATCAATTCACAGATACTGTACTGAAACCTGGTGGGGAAGGAAGTTGCCTATGCTGAATACTTCCAAGTTGTCCCTTTTCCAAATCGATATGCTTTGCTAGCTTCCAAAACTTCAGTCTAAAAAAATATGAGGAAGGAGGAAGGAGTGGAGATAGAAGTCAGGCAGGGATAATGTTGGAAAGAGCAGAAAAGTACAGAATGTTTATTCAGCTGGTCTAAACTCAAGGCAACTCAAGCTAAATTTGAGAGAGAGAGAGAGAGAGAGAGAGAGAGAGAGAGGGAGAGGGAGAGAGAATGAGAATCTCCCCTCTAATTTCCCATAGGCTTAGTTCTGGAGGTCTACAAGATCCAGGAATCAATTTCTTAAAGAAAAAGAAATGGAAATGCAATTTGAAACCCAACCCGTAGTCCCAATAAAATTTACAGAAGAAGAATTGACAATGCTCGAGTTGACTGAGGGAGCAGTTGGGGGAATTACCCAACAAAAGGAACAACATGAAGTTAGATCAACTAGAGTAATAAAACCTACATATAAAGTATGAATATGGAAGAAAGGAAACTAATTTCAGCAAATATAAATGGACTTAATTCGGCTATTAAAAGAAAGAAAATATTTCACAAATTAGAGAAATTAAAAACTGACATAATTTGTTTACAAGAAGTACATATTAAAAAACAACATGAATACTTATTGACACAACCAAAACTTGGAAAAACCTTTTTATCCCTATCGCAAAGTAAAAAAAGAAGAGTCGTATTATATATTAAAAATGCAATATTGGCGGAACAAAAATATTCATATTCAGAAGGTAGAATTTTGATGTTGGAAATAATTGAAAATAATATGAAAAACCTTCTAATAGCAATATATGCTCCAAATGAAAACCAGACTGACTTCTACAGAAGACTACATAACAAAATAATTGAAATGGAATATGATAATATATGTATGATGGGGAACTTTAATGGAATTGTGGATGAAAATTTGGATCATAAAACGAATAAAGCAATAAAACATGCTAGAAAGATATAGCCAAAATCTTTCTTCAAGATGATGGAGTAAATAAATATGAAAGATACATGGAGAGAAAGAAATAGAGAAAATAAACGATATACTTTTTATTCTGACAGACATTCATCTTGGTCCAGATTAGATATGATATGGACAACAATGGACTTGCTGCTGAATATAGAATATGTGGAGATAGAAACTAATTTATGGGCGGACCATAACCCTGTGATAATAACTTGGAAAGGATGAATAAGAAGATCAAGATGGACTTTAAATAATACAATATTAAAAGAGAAAGACTTCGTGCAGAAAATGGAAAGAGGCTTGGCTTTTTTCTTCAAAGAAAATAAGAAAGAAGAGACATCGATACAAAATTGATGGGATACAATGAAGGCATATGCTAGAGGACTAATTATAGATTATACAAGAAAAAGGAATGCAAAAAAAAGACAAACCTCGAAAATATTGACTGATGATTATAGAAAGCTTGAAAAGGAACTCCAGAAAGACCCATACAAGAAAGATGTCAAAATTAAAATGGATATAATAAAGCATAAAATGGACTTACTGGAGAAAGAAGAACTAGCCCCCAAAATAAGAAGTGCTAAACAAAACTACTTTGAAAATGCGAATAAACCAGGCAAATGGTTAGCATATAAATTGAAAAAGAAAAGAGAATTGAGGAAAATAACATATTTAGTTGATGAACAAGGACAAAGTAAATTTGGAAATAAAGAGATAGGGAAGATAATACAAGAATATTATAGACAACTTTACAAAAAAGAGACAATTGAGGAGGAGAAAGTGTTAAAGTATTTACAAGAAGCAAAATTACCTCGGATTTCTAAAGATATGGAGGAGATGCTGGAAAGAAACATAACGATGATGGAATTAACAGAAGCAATCAGGAAGCAAAAGAATGGGAAGGCGCCAGGGCCAGATGGTCTACCAGTTGAATACTATAGGACATTACAAGAGTCTCTGACCCTTCCATTATTGGAGGTGATGAATGAAGCAATGACAAAGAAGGAAATACCTAAATCATGGACTGAGGCATATATTACATTGATACACAAAGAAGATACAGACCCACAACAAATCAAAAACTATAGGCCTATATCCTTGCTAAATTCAGATTATAAAATTTTTGCTTCAGTATTTGTGGAAAGACTTAAGAGATATTTGAATAATTTTATACATGCAGATTAAAATGGATTCCTTCAAAAAAGACAAATTAGAGATAATATAAGGATAATTTTGGATGCATTAGAGTATTACGAAGCACACCCTGAAAAACAGATGGCTTTGGTATTTTTAGATGCACAAAAAGCTTTTGACAATGTAAATTGGCAATTCATGATACTCCAAATGGAAAAGATGGGCTTTGGCAGGAAATTTATGCAGGCAATTGAAGCCATATACTTCAAACAGACGGCAAAAGTAATGATAAATGGAGAACTGACCGATCCTATCGAAATAGAAAAAGGTATTAGACAAGGATGCCCACTGTCCCCACTGTTGTTTATATTGACTTTAGAAGTCTTAGACAGACAGATTAGAGAAGAAAAAGAGATAAAAGGCACGAAAATCCGAAAAAAAGAATATAAACTACAAGCCTTTGCAGACTATTTGGTTTTTATTATTGAAGAACCATTAATAACAATAAATAAATTGATAGAAACTATTGGACAATTTGGGAAAGTAGCCAGCTTGAAAATTAATAAAGATAAAACGAAGATAATGACTAGAAATATGTTGAAAAAGCAAAAAGAAGAACTGATGGAGATTTCAAAAATGCAGGTTACAATAAAGTAAAATATCTGGGGATATATTTAACACCAAGATGTAGCGCACTTAAAGAAAATAACTATAATAAGCTTAAACAACAGATAGGCCAAGATTTGATGAAATGGGGAAACTTGCAATTATCTTTGATTGGTAGGATCTCAACTATTAAGATGAATATTCTGCCCAGAATTTTGTACTTATTTCAGACAATTCCAATCAAGTTGGGTAAAGAATTTTTTTGTAGATTTAAATAAAATGATATTGAAATATATTTGGCAAGGGAAAAAGGCGAGAATAAAATTAAAGCTGTTACAAGATGCTAAATTTAGGGGTGGTTTTGGTTTACCTAATTTTGAATTGTATTACCAAGCTGCAAGTTTAATGTGGATTAAAGAATGGATAACTTTGAGAAATACCAGATTATTGAATTTGGAGGGACATGATTTGTTGATGGGGTGGCATGCTTTTTTATGATACAAAGGATCAAAAATACAAGGGTATTTTAGAAGACATCAGATACGGGAAGCTTTATGGTTGAACTGGGAGAAGGTCAAAAAATATCATTATTTGAAGATTGCAGTCTGGGTATCTACAATTGAAGCTTTTTCATATCCAGTAATATTTAAAAGGGAACAAATTATTAGGTATAGTGAACTATTGGATGAAAAGGGTGAACTTAAATTAAAGCAGGATGTAGAAGATCAGGGATGTAAGATGGACTGGTTTTCATACATGCAAATATTTTCTAGATATCAAGAGGATCTCAGACAAGAAGGTATTTATAATGTTTTGACTAATTTGGATAAGATTTTAATGGGCTCTGATGATCATATAATTAAAAAATTGTATGGATATTTGTTAGAAGTAAAACTGGAAGAAGAACAGTTAAAGAAGCAATTATAGCGTGGGGAAAATTTTTTGGCTATGGTATTGATTTAGAGAAATGGCAAAAATTGTGGTCACATAATTATAAAATGACAAAGTCAACAGCATATAGGGAGAATTTGTATAAGATGTTTTACAGGTGGCATCCCCGACGAGGATAGCCAGGATGTTCCAGAATAAATCGGAGAAATGTTGGAAGTGCCATCAGACTCCAGGATCTTATTACCATATGTGGTGGACATGCGGAGAAGCAAAGAGATATTGGACTAAGATACACATGTGATTGGAAAAAATGACTAAGAGACATATTGACTTTAAACCAGAGATATTTTTATTAGGGATCTTACCAGAGACATATAATAAAGAATTGCAATATTTAATTGTAAAGCTTCTAACGGCAGCTAGAATGACTGGAAGTACTGCCCTGGAGGTTGTAATTGATGGAAAGAATTGTGTCTTGTGTGAGGGATCAAAAGCAAAGAGCTATCCTACTGGTAATCCCACATTCCTTCCTATAAGAATAAAATGTAACATGTAGGGTGAATGTTTGTAGTCTGCTAAATGGCAGCAGGAGTTTGGAGTTTTCCATCTCCCTTTTTTGCTGCCCAAGGGTTGGCCAAGGAAATGCTGGCCAAGACATCCAACAGTTTCTTATTGCTATTATACTCACAATTATTTCAAGTTTTGTTTTTTCCATTTCTATCCAAAATTGATTCAAACTGTGTTCCATCAAACCACAGCCACACTAACAGTTCAGCATAATTTCTGGGAGGCAATGTTTTGGTTCAAGCTTGCAACCAAGCACATTTTCTGATTTATGCACATTTTTAATCTCCTTCATTGTGCCCAATACTGCTTCCATCTCCCTCTCTGTCTCTCCCACTCCCCCCAGAAGATAGGCTCAAAATCCAGAAGGATCTCAACAGTCTTGAATACTCGGCCCTATCTAACAAAATGAAATTCAATGGAGAGAAAAGGAAGGTTTTATACTTAGGCAAGAAAAACCAAGTGTACAGGTATAGAATAGGTGGAACCTGACTCAGTACCAGCAACTGTGAGAGGGATCTTGGCATCCTTGGACAATCACTTAAATATAAGCCAGCAGTGTATTGCAGCTGCCAGAAAAAACCAATGCAGTCCTAGGCTGCATCAACAGTGAGAT